TTTGCACCCTTTGCACCCTTTGCACCGTTGGCACCGTTGGCAGTCTTCGCACCATTGGCTCCGTTGGCTCCCTTAGCAGCGTTGGCGCCGTTGGCTCCCTTCGAGAAATGTCAGCATAGGTCAAAACATAAAAGACTTCTAAGAGCTTACAGTAGCACCAGCTGCACCCTTGGCTCCAGGGACCTTAGCACCAGCTGCACCCGTGGCTCCAGAGGCATTGCCGCCATTGCATGTAATATCCTTCGAGAAATGTTAGCATGATCTAGATAGAAGGTTTGAGAACTTACAGTAGCATTTGTAGCATTTGTAGCATTTGTAGCATTTGTAGCGCTTGTAGCATCGGTAGCATTTGTGGCATTTGTAGCATTTGTGGCGTTTGTGGCGTTTGTGACGTTTGTGGCGTTTGTGGCGTTTGTGGCGTTTGTAGCATCTGTAGCATCTGTAGCGCTTGTAGCATCTGTGGCGTTTGTAGCATCTGTAGCGCTTGTGGCATCTGTAGCGCTTGTAGCATCTATAGCGTCTGTAGCATCTGTGGCGCTTGTAGCATCTGTAGCGCTTGTAGCATCTGTGGCGCTTGCAGCATCTGTGGCGCTTGTAGCACCCGTAGCGCTTGTAGCATCTGTGGCGCTTGCAGCATCTGTGGCGCTTGTAGCACCCGTAGCGCTTGTAGCATCTGTAGCGCTTGTAGCATCTGTAGCAGCACCCACTGCAGCAGCTGGCGAGGGCTTCGCAGCGGCCACGCCCTTGTCGGTCAAACCTTTGGCTCCCTTCAGGCAATGTCAGCGTAGATTCAGATATGTGAGAGTTGGAAACTTACAGCAGTACCCGTGGCAGCAGCAGGCGAGGTTTTGGCTCCAGCCGCGTCCTTGGCTGCAGAAGCCTTAGCAGCAGCAGATGATGATGCCTTAGTACCAGCCGCACTCTTTGTTGCAGAGGCCTTGGCACCGGCTGCACCCTTAGCTCCAGCAGCAGCAGTAGCTGTCGCCTTAGCACTGGCCGCACTCTTTGCTGCAGAGGACTTCTTCGCTGCAGAGGAAGCCTTAGCAGCAGCAGATGATGATGCCTTAGTACCAGCCGCACTCTTTGTTGCAGAGGCCTTGGCACCGGCTGCGCCCTTAGCTCCAGCAGCAGCAGTAGCTGTCGCCTTAGCACTGGCCGCACTCTTCGCTGCAGAGGACTTCTTCGCTGTAGAGGACTTCTTAGCAGCAGTAGCTGATGCCTTAGCACCGGCTGCGCCCTTGGCAGTAGCTGTTGCCTTAGCACTGGCCGCACTCTTTGCTGTAGAGGTCTTCTTAGCAGCAGCTGCGCCCTTTGCTGCAGAGGCCTTCTTGGCAGCAGCGTCCTTCTTAGCAGCTGCGTCCTTCTTGGCAGCAGCGTCCTTAGCAGCAGCATCCTTCTTGGCAGCTGCGTCCTTAGCAGCAGCTGCGTCCTTAGCAGCAGCATCCTTCTTGGCAGCTGCGTCCTTCTTAGCAGCAGCATCCTTCTTGGCAGCTGCGTCCTTCTTAGCAGCAGCATCCTTCTTGGCAGCTGCGTCCTTCTTAGCAGCTGCGTCCTTAGCAGCTGCGTCCTTCTTGGCAGCAGTGTCCTTCTTCGCAGCTGCATCCTTTGCAGCAGAGGCCTTCTTCGCAGCTGCATCCTTTGCAGCAGAGGCCTTCTTAGCAGCTGCGTCCTTCTTGGCAGCAGCGTCCTTCTTAGCAGCTGCGTCCTTTGCAGCAGAGGCCTTCTTAGCAGCTGCGTCCTTTGCAGCAGAGGCCTTCTTAGCAGCGGCGTCCTTTGCAGCAGAGGCCTTCTTAGCAGCGGCGTCCTTCGCAGCAGAGGCCTTAGCAGCAGCAGTGGCCGATTCGGCTCTAGCCCTAGGGCCGTGAAGTCTACCCGGACCAGTTGGAGCACCAAACGCCACCACGTTGTCTTCGGCATCACCGTTGGCACGGCCGATGATATTAGCGACGCCTTCTGCTCCTGCAGCTTGACCAGCCAGAAGCTGGTCAATCTCACGCTTGGCCTTCAGGTTCTCGTCGACGATCTGGCGAACGGAAGCAATGTAGTGAGCTGGAAACTTCTGGGTGCCTTCGGTTTCCCATCGCTTCGCAGAGTGTGCCTGAGACGGGGCGGCGATAGCGCTAGCAGCCAGAGTGGCAACGACGATGGAAGCTTCGAACCTCATATTGAAAGATTGATAGTTTAAAAAGGATACTGCACTGCAGTAGTTGTAAAAGAGGGGATAAATAAAGCCGACTAGCAGCGAGAGAATGTAAGATAAAGAGAGAACCAAAGATAAGATCTTAGGGTAGCAGTGATCGAGGCCGAACTGGTGAGGTGAGGAATCCTACATTGGAACAGAGCAGACATATATATGGACCTCCATAAGGTAGGACCGATGCGAGTAGGCATGCAGCATCAGACTGTTGATGCGTTCTCGACGATCATGGACTCGATGAGCAAAACAATCACGAGGTTGTAGCAATGCGTGCGGATCCAAACGCCTGGAAGCACGGTGCTACTGCCGAGTTCGTTACGGTTTGAGCTGTCTGTAACTACGCTCACGGGACCCGTCAAACGATGGCGATGGACCGAGTTCCACTGTTTTGGGGGAAGCGAAGGCTTGTTTGCCTGTCAGCGTGGTTTGACATGCGGCTGAATGCATGAAGTGACAGGGAGCAGGCGTGTTGGTGCTCGTTCTCGAAGCCATGGCGAGCGGCTTCCATCAGTGGGGCACGTCTGCTTACTGCTCAAGGTATGGAGCGGTATTGGGGTTCGAATGACGTGTCGATTCCACCCACAAGCACACATCAACTATCCCATAACACATCATCCATACTGATCACATCCTTTCCTCAGCAGCGGCAGCAGCAGTATAGCACCGCATGACCGCATGGCCGCATCAATCCATCTCTTCAGCCATACCTCAGAACACCACCGCCAATCTCACCGAACGCAGTCTTCAACTCCGACTTTGTGTTGCAAGCCGCGTCGCGACTCCCATGAAACGACAGCGCGGCGCGCTGCATGTCCGAGCAAAATCGCGCCATTTGGTTTCGAAACCCACCAATACTCCGGTAGCGAAGAGAAACCGCAACACATTGTGTAGGAACAGTCTCGCTGACTGCTGTCGCGTGTTTGGGAAGGTCTGGATGCCGAGCGGCTTGGGGGTGATGCGTGGGTGCGGAGATGTGGGTACAGGTGGGTTCGCTGCGATGAGGTGTTGGAAGAAGGTTGACGCTAGCGCGGTGCCTGAAACCTGAAACGGAACGAAGATCCTTAGGCAGAGCCACATGTGAGATCTGGGAAATAAGCCTACAACTACGGTGATGACATTTGAGTTTTAATCGATTTGGATATATCCCCTCTGCATCGAATCGGTATGTGCTGCGATCTAGTTATCCAGATCTGGGTATCTCCAAGTTGACCACCAAATACACAATCATCACGCTTCTATCTTGTCCTATTCACACCCGTAACAACCACCTCTCCAGACCCAGCCTCCACCTTCCACCCCTCCTTAACGAGCGCCCTCACAACCGCCGGCCCCAGCCTCCCCCTTCCGTCAGCGCTATGTCTCCCCAAGCCAACGATAATTCTATACTCGCCGACTCCGCCCCTCGCACCACCATACTCAGCTATGCGTCGCTCTCCAAGCGAGCTCCACCACACCTGTGTCTTTTGCTTCGCGATACGCGTTGCGTCCGCCACGGTGACGCCATGTAAGTCGAGGATGGTGGAGGAGGATTGCGATGCTACGAGGTAGTCTGCGTCGGCTTGGCTGGAGACTTTTTGGTGTTCGCCGTGATTACGGGCTTCTTGGGCGTAGTAGCCAGCTGCTGCGCGGGTGAGGCCGCCCTTTTTATAGGCAGATGATGCGTTATCGTACATGTCGTTCCGTTTCTGGCCGAGGGACGCTGTGGTGTGTGGCCGGAGTGAGGGGGCTAGGCTTGGTAGCGCTCTTTCTCGTGGCTCGTCGTCTTCAACATTGACGGGCGCGTATTTGAAGTCGAGCTGGATGCTGCCTCTGCCGCCGGTTGCACTTGCCGGCTGCTCTGTGAGTGCCTTCGCCAAGTCGCGTGCCTTGTCCGGTGAGCCATCCGCGAGACGTATAAGGGCGAGCGTCCGATCGAGGCCGATACTAGGAAAAGCTTCGTTGATGTCCATTGCATCTTGGACGTGTCCTGGCTCTGGTTCTTTGCCTTGGTGCGCCCTTATGTCCTTGTTCACAAAGGCCAGGATGGTGACAGACAGGGACGTACTCTTCTCGTGGTACAGTGAAGATACGATCCTGTGTGGCAGCATCGTTCGTGCTGTTATGAACTCGACGTCACGGCTGCTGTTCTGCCAGCGGTTGGGCGTCACGGCGCCTGACAGATCCGTTCCTGATGCATTGGCCGAACTCATAGCGCACAGAGACACCTTCTGCTTCTTCTTGCCCTTGCCCTTCTTGCTCTTCTGAGGGACGTGGTGGCCTTCGAAGAAACCTTCTATACCCTTAGCACTTGGAGTCGCCTCTTCGCTTGGGATTGACCTCACATCCTCAAAGTAGACGTGGTTCAGAAGCTCGTCTGCAGCTTTGCTGAAGTCGTCGTTGCACTTCTTCAACGTGTATGCCACAAGCTGAGGGCGCAAACTTGGGAACGTTTCTGCGAGTAGCTGCTCCTTGGTCTTCGCCTCAGACTGGTCGGTCTCCCGGAAGTAACCGCCATCCCACGACTCCTCAGAGCCCTCCGCGGACCGCCCATCCACACTGAGCGCCGACAGGTCGTTCGAGAGGTGCGTTGCATCGGTCAGGGTCGTGCGCGTCGCCCAAGTGTCCGCATTCGAGTCAACATCCGAGCCGTGCTTGCCAGAGCTGTCGCGTACAGGCCCTCCACTGCTGCCAGAGGCATCAAACTCGGTAGCCTGCTCTACGACCGCCGAAGCCTTGATTGGGTCTAGCAGCTCTCTGGCTAGCTCCAACGCGTTGGACGCATCTGCAAAGTCGCTGAAGATTGCAGCAAGAAGGGCGGGATCGATTGGTGGGCAGTATTCTTGCTGCAGCCTTGTTAGTCATGTTGTGCGACTCTGATCACGCGTGCACACCTCGAGGATGAGCAGGTTTTCATCCATCTTTTGTCCTATAGTGGTGTCGGCCTATGTACGCAAATTGCATGCTCGTGGGTCGCAGAATCTGGAAGGGGTGCTTGTTGTTGCGATAGCACTGGGAAATGGCCGTGTCGAGACGAAAGTGGCTACGTTCTATCTGCTTGCGCGGTTGTTGGTGGGCACACAGCTTGCTTGGGTCGGTGGGGTTGGCTCGAAGCTGCACGCGATCGTCGAGGGGTCAGAATTGCCGCTTGGCGAGAGGTCGCGCGCTCAGGGAGACGGTGACCAAAACATCGTGATCTGAGTGAAGGAACTTTAAGCTGGACTTTTTGCGATGGTCGCGAACTTCTTTCAACCTAAATTTGGGCTGGATGCTAGACGTCATGTTAGACCGGTTGAAAAGCGCGTCATACAAAGACCGCGCTAGTGTGCATCACCACGACTCAAGCACGAAATCAAGCGATGATGAGTTCTTTAGCAAATCGACGAAGCAGCGCTACACAGGTCTTGTGGTATGATCACACTCGCATTTTCGATTCTCGTTGTCAACCTGTGAACAAAAACGGTAGCCTAGCACGATCGTGAAAAGTCGTTAGCACATCACAGTGAAACTTGCAGGCAGTGACACCGGAAAGGTAGTATATCACGTCCGCACGAGACATCCACGGCTTTCTTTGCTTAGTCTAGTAAAAGAGGGGCTCCCCTACTCGAAAATTACGATCGGCCATGGTTGCACCACAGTCCAACTCCACAGTCGCATCCGAAACGCTTATCTCTGCACCTTTGTCATTTCTTAGCAATGCATACTCAGCGGCGGTATCTGTAATTCCTTTCCAGTTCTCGCTCGTGCAGCAAGTACATGTCAAAGTCAAAGCTGAGGCTGCTGTAATGTTTATTTTCTACCTCCTGAAACGAGTCTATGCGTACTTCGAGGATTGGCAGGCACAGCGAAAGGCTAGGAGGCTGAATTCCGCGAAAGTAGCAGCCAAGAAAGGAAAGAAGAGATGGAAGAAGGGTAGGAAGAGGAAGAACAAACGGCCAACATGAATACTTGTGTATCTACATGTGCACACAATTCGCATACAACGTCTCGCTTAACAGCCGTTGTACTACTAACATCCATACATTCTTTTGGTCGTCTTTCGTGCTCGTCTAGAAGTCTTGCAGTACTGGTGCTTGTTATCGATTGGTCTTGATCAAAACCCGTAGATCTAGAGTAGGGACTCGACCAGCGAAGGGCCTTACTCGTACACAGCTTTTACCAACCACGTAGGGTCCTGCATATGATATATGTGCTAAAAGGTCCAGATGCTCGGGAGATGAGCAATGACAACAGAGAATGTGAGAATCAGAGTCAGATTGCTGGTATTTCACCTGCCGTCGCGTGTGAGACACCGAGATGTGTGCTGCACAATCGTGATAGTTATTACACACATGCCAATATCCAAAGCGCTCATTTGCCAGTGACCAATGGTGACGATAGTGCCCGTTGAGGTGCTCCGTGACGACAGCTATGGAGATGTGGAGGAAGCAGCGACACAGCCTCAGAATGCCCTGCGGTATATCGCCCCGGGTCAGGTCTTTGAGCTTCGTGTAACGCCTCAGGATGATCGAAGCCCGAATGAGAGTTGAGCTAAATGGATAAGTGGATGCTCTTCACCACCCGCGCGATGCGGAAGGGACGAGGGAGATCCGTTGCGCCACATGTTCGAATAGTGCCGAGAGCAAGCTGTAGATTACAAACTTTCAAAAAGGCCAGTATGGTATACAGCGGCACAGGGGCAATAGTGGCCATTCGGTGAATCGACCATTGCGCGAGGGCAGTCGGCGCCGAAGACATGTTTGCAGGGCAGTACTCGCACGCCCTGATGGTTCTCGTCCCACTCGGCCCAGCAGAGGGAGCAGCGATCCCCGTAGTGGGCGTCGTTTGGATCGGCCGGAACCACTCGGGTGGCGAGGGAACTTGGTTTAAAGACACTTCTCAGGATGTCAGAGAAGATCATTGTGGTTGCTGAAAAGACGCAAATAGATGCGCTCAATGAATGTCAAGGTGGTCGCAGCGAGACTCGGGGGACAGGATCATGCACTGAAAGAGAACGTATACAAAGTACTGCGGCATAATAAAAGCAAAGCACTTCTGTGATGATGGAGATGGACTTCAAACTAGATGGAGAACTCATCAAGGAAAAAGGCAGATACGCTGAGCAAATGATATTTGCAAGGTCCGCGAGTGCGGAAGGATCACTGTAGCTAGGCGGGGAAGAAGCATGCACTTGCTCATTCCTACGGTGCAGCAGAACTGGCCGTTCGCTCTGGTGCTCTCTTAGTAGTCATCATCGTCATACCTCTGCTCGTTCCTGCCATCGTCGTACGCATTGTCCATGCGGTCCCCAAAGTCCTCGACATTATCCACAGCGCCATCCCACTTGTTCTCGATGTCTTGAGGGATGTCCTCGACTGACTGGACCTTCTCGCCAGTCCATCTCGCCGCGTTCTCGGGGAAGTCCTCGACGTCGTCGACAGCGTTGTCCCACTTGTTCTCAACGCGGTCACCAAAGTTCTCAACGTTGCCGACCTGTTGGCCGGTCCAGTTTGCGGCGTTTTCGGGGAAATTCTCGACGTCGTTGCCAATGTTGTTCATGCGCTGGTCCATCTTGTACTTGTCTTCGTCCCAGTCTTGCTCTGTGGATACATTAGCAGATTGCAGCGTTGGTCACGCGAAAGACATACTGATGTCTCCAGCCTCGTGCATCAGCAGCGCTCCGCCGACGAGACCGGCAGCGCCGCCAGCAGCGTACTTCCATGCATTGCTGCCCTCCTTCTTCGGCTGTGCTTGCGGGGGGTATCCGCCACCGTGGCCACTCTGTTGGCCGTAGCCTTGTTGTTGCTGTTGTCCATAGCCACCACCGTAGCCACTCTGCTGCTGACCGGAGCCTCGCTGATCGTATCCGCCCTGTTGTCCGTAGGCTCCTTGGCTCTGGTTTCCTGGCCCAGGGTACTGATATGTGCGTTCGCCGTTCTGCTGGTTCACGAAGATCCAGCGGTTCTCGCGGTTATCCCATTCGGCGTACCACGGTGGCGAGACCGGCGGGGGACCATGTTGCTGTTGACCGCCGTATTGCTGCTGGCCACCGTACTGTTGTTGTCCACCATACTGTTGCTGTTGTCCGCCATACTGTTGCTGTTGTCCGCCATACTGTTGTTGTTGTCCGCCATACTGTTGTTGTTGTCCGCCATACTGTTGCTGCCCGCCCTGCTGGCCTTCGCCTGTGAGTTTGCCGACAATGCTATCAAGGAAGCCCATTATGAATGTGTGTTCTGGTGTGGAGGGAGTCTGTGGAAGGAGAAGGTGACAGATATGTCAATTGATTGAGAGATGAGATCGCCGAGTGTGCAGGCGAGCCCACCGTGCGCTATTTATCATCTACCTGCACATGACGGTCCACATGCATCTGTCACCCCGGAGGATCCGCAGGGACACCCAGCCCCAAACAAACCTCCGCGAGCTTTCAGCTGTGAAGCACGCGGCCCTTCTATGCTCTTCCAAATCATATTCATGGCTTCTGGTTATGCAATGCGGCGCTCCAGCCACTGCGAGGCGCTGCACAACTGTGCATAAACGAGGGGTGACTTTCGGTTCAAGCTCGTGTTGCAGCTCCGGTGCGGTTCCTGGCGATTCCAGACCCGCTAGTCCACGGGCCGAAGAAATAAGGTGTCTTGGCAAAATGCTTATCTGTCCTGACCTGGTTGGATCTGAGTTGCTAGAGTGCTCTGCGACGACTCAGCCACCCCAACATGTTTTATCTATACCTTGGCTGTGCTGCATTGTTCGCGGTAGTTGTCGCCTTGCGCCAAACCGGTATTCGAACACTGCCTTTAGCCTCTCAATCACAGTAACAGAATGAACCGCGCCGGAGATGACCAAGACATTCAGTGAACAAGACTGGAGGAGAGCGAACTATTGAGGCCAACCCATCAGCGCGTTGACAGGGATACGACAAGTCCGCTCGACTCTGACTGCTATATACACGTTACTAAAACAATATTCCTGGCCAAGTCAAGGCCGCACCTCAGGTCTGTCCCAGACGATATCCCCCTCTTTCTTTCCTTCATCACGATGAATATTCTGCTTCGCCCTACACAGTCTACCATCTTGCTCAACACACGACTCGCTTCCCACACACTTGCTGCACCACAGCGTATTTTTCGGATCAAGTTCCCTCTTGATCTTCCTCAGCCTCTCATAATTGCTCGTAAAAAACGACGTCTGCCAATCCGGCTCCTGAGAGTCAGCCTCATTGAAGTACGCACCCGTATCCGGCGACGAAGTCCTCAGTCTCTGCGTCTTGGCCGTGACGTCCTTGTGAACAGCATCAATGGCTGCCTGCTGTGAGCCATCCTGCCAGCCGTTGACAACGACCAGGTGAATCAGGGTATCACGCCATCCTGGATTCAGACTCTGCGCCTCTGGGTAGTATGACGGAAAGACGGAGCAGCCGACCATATGGCCTATAAGCATTGGGTTCGAGACAGGGCCGTTGGGATGCGATGCATTACCACTTGGTCCAACTTCTTTCAACAATCTTGCATTGCTCGAAGCGTCAGACAAGGAAGCTGGGCTCATGAGTCGCGAGCCAAACGTGCTACCGCCGCCCGCGACAGCTTCGTTCTGGATCTGCGACGCGATGGCAAAGTACGTCGGTGCTTGGGTGATGTTCGATGTATACGCGAATAGATTCGCTCGTTCCATCAGATACGTCTCGATCGGCGCCATCAATGTTTCAACGAGGCCGTTCGGTTTGTCGAAGAGCATAAACGCCCATATCAGCGAGAGTGAGGGGGCTGCAGGGGGACCAATGATGTAGTAGTAGCCCTGCATACCGCCTTCCTTGAGTCGTTGCATGTGGGCATGCAGAAAGCCCACTGCACCCCAGAATTGCATGTCTGTGGCGTTCGGCAGCGAGCCGAGCGTGAAGACGTGCATCGCTGTTTGAGGACTTGGGTACGTTTTCAAGACTACTTCTGTCACGACACCGTATGTGCCGCCTCCACCTCCTCTGATCGCGAAGAAAACGTCGGAGTTCTGGCATGGGTTGGCGACGATGGTCTTGCCCGAGGCAAGCACAACTGTAGCTTCGAGGAGATTGTCGCTGCCCATGCCGTACGTGGTGGACAAGAATCCATGGCCGCCACCGGTGAGCCAGCCAATGATGCCTACGCTGGGGTTTGCGCCGCTGACAATGACTTTTTCGTACTTACTCAAGTACGCCTGTATCTCGCCGCTAGTGTGACCGGCTGCTATCTGGACTGCAGCGATGGCTACTGAGGCTGCACAAGCGGTTGGCAGAAATGACTCGGTATACTCAAGGCCCCGGAAATTGTGGGTCCAGATCAGCAGGCTTCCGGCCCCAGTACTACGACCGGTGTGCGAGTGACCAGTGGCTTTAACAACAGCGCGGATGTCCTTCTCGGTTGCCCAATTCAGCGCTGTAGCGATTTGCGAGGTTTGGGTTGCATTGACGACATATGCTGGATATGTGTTTGCGTCGCAGCCTCTCCTTCCCGCATTTGGGTCGCCGGTCACACTTGTTCCATTTGGATAGATAGGATTGCAGGAGTCGTTCGTCCAGACAGGATAGTCAATACTGACAGGATCTGATGCGTGGAAAGTCGAGTCAAACCATCTGGCACGTACGAGCGCGCAAGCTTCTTCGTTGTAGTTGGGCTCGTTGGAATAACAAACCGATGCTGGCGGGTTTGCGCGGATAAGGGCACCTGAAAGTGAGGTGTTCAAGTCAGTCCAGTCTGAAGAGCTCGGCCAGCATGAGTCGGCAGGTGTCTATTGGTATCTCATAAGTATGTACATTGACCGAGGGGATCATGTGATGTCCAGATGCTCACACATTTGCAATGCAACTTAGTTGCGGACCCAACGACCGAGGTCAACAAGAACTGGAAGAAGGTTCCGAGGAAGATCTTCATCTTCATGGGAGGTAATCCTTCACAAAGATGTATATCTGATCCACTGTCTGTCTATAAGTTTAAGTAAAGGCTAAGGCAGACAGCGAGGCGTCGCTACTCTGTCTATTTTGGGACACAAGTACGATGTCAGCGCACGAAATCTTGAGAGAGTACTGCGATCGGATTGATCGTGAAGTAGGGTCAAGAAATGGGTTTCACCGGGAGGAAGTGGTTGAGCCAAAGCTGGGGATCGAAGCTGCGGCTGTGCAGTAAGCGCGGGGTTGAAGCGAGCAATACGACGAAATAGCGATGGATGCGGACAGCGCAAGTAATCGCGTCAACATACGGCTAATTGAATTTGATGGGGGAGCTGTGTTGCGAAGCCGTGAAGAAGCCTTTGGCAGTCCTGAATCTGTTGAGTTTAAGTGAGCACGTGCTGAGAAGAGCATTTAAATCCGAACAAAGCTGCTGCAACTGAGGATCTGATACTGAATGAGGTAAAAATCATGAATGGTGTTTTATTGGCCATATTTCTGCCTCTGAAGTAACTATGTACAAATCGGTCGTGTCTTTGTGGAGTGGAGCACACCTGTAGGTCGTGAGCTGAAAATCATTTGAATCTTTACAGAACACATACAGCTATCAGGCCTTCAGATCAGGCATGCGATGTCTTTTACTTAGTCTCCTCCTCGGAGCTTTTGTCTTCGGCGCAGGCGAATACTGTTCATGGGATGCGATACTCGGTGCAAGGATAGGCCGAGCAGCACGCATTTCGCTGTCGGCAAGACTTACCCCGTCTTGAGGGCGTCCTATCTCCTCTGGGTGAAGTGCAAGATTGAGCTGCGAAAGTCTGGCTCGGAACCGAGTCTCCGGCCTTCCTGTTGATGTTTTGGTGATAATGCGTCGTGATTGCTGTACATCGTCGTGCGTGGAAGGATCTCTCCGGAAGCTCAGGTGTCGGTCGCTAAATATGCGCCGTAAGAACTGAGGCATGTCTTTCAAGACGTTTAAGGGGTATTGCGGAACAGAAACGCAAGGTCTTTGGTTTTATCAAAAGATGAACAGCTTTGCCGACTTCTTGTAGGCCTGTCGTGAGAGGGCGATGGACGGTGGCGGGATGTAGCTGCGGGGCCAGACCCTGGGGCTTCCGCGGTCGCACCTGTCATTGGTTGGACGATGTGGGCCTTTGACTATCGCGTCACGTCCAGCCGCTCTTCTTTCATGATCACGCGTTACGACCACCAGTTCCATTCGTCGTACCTAAACTATTGGCATGTGTATCTGTGTCGCGTCAAATTCGATGCCATAATTATGGCTTGAGGAGTGGCAGTCATCAATGTCGGGTCAGCTGTGAGATCGAATGCAAGATGCTGACGAGGCCACCGACTTCATTCTAAAGGACTTTTTCAACCGACATCTGTCATCCAACACAGTCCTACGTTCGGTCATGTAGCTTGACATACTGTGTAGCATGCGAGAAGTCGCGGCCGAGATGGAACGAGATGAGTCGCTCAGCCGCCTCGCTGTATTGCTTTTCAGGACCGTACAACTTGTCCTGCCACACAACAAGTCTATCATGATCTGGCCAGGCGCCGAATATATTCTTCATAAGTACACCAAAAAGCGGCTTATGAGCGAGTCCTTGCCTCCGTTGAATGCATACGGCCTTGCGAAAGCCTCCTGCTACGTGATTAACCCAGCCAAAAGCTTACTTGAGACTTAATCAAGAAAGACGATGAAGAGGCAAGAGATCGTTTGCTGGGTCACATCGACATGAAATCGAAGTCGCGACCCGCCCAAGCTGAACAGCCGCCAACTGCACCGCCATCTACGCATCAGAGAAGGAGGATGGACCGGAACGATAAGCGCCGAGCAGCAAAAGGCAAGCAGGATGGTGCGCAGCAAGACGACGCTCAAACCAAAGAGCAGCGAGAAGGAAGCCTGGAACAAGACTGTAAGCGCAACTTGCAGCAACTGAGTGACTACCATGCTCTACTGAAAGCAGAGGAGTTTGACCTCTTCTTTGATGTCTTCTTTGATGTCTTCTTTGATATGGATGCTCTCGTAGGTCGTCCAGCTGGCTGAAGAGGCATACATTGAGGCCTCAGGCAGCCTCGGTATCTTTCCTGAGGATAGCTGGTGCACGATGAAGGGGTTTGTCCAATATGCACAGCAGGAGGATGAAACTGCTCGGAAGATGTGGGCAGACTTCGCATCGAACCCTCAGGAGCTGTTGAAGAAGAGGCGCGAGAGCTATTTTGGACAAGGCTGGGAGGCTGTCGGGGCTGAAGTGTCCAAAATGTTAGTCGGCCCTGTTGCGAACACAGTTTGATTCTCTGTCCACTTGTCATCACATGAATCAATGCTATTGTCAGACTCCTCCAAGCAATCATCATGGATGCCGAACGCCTGATAACTCTTTCAAACCGGCCTCCCGCACTCTTCTCGTGCTCACACACCGTGTTCGAAGACAAGGGATGCGAAAGACCTCGCAGGACAAATCACAAAAATTGCTGAGACGATTGATCTGCTGTGCCTACTCCAAGTCATGCAGCAAGAGTGAGGAGAAGGTAAAACACGAATGAGTACAGGGGCGCAGAATGAGCAGGTGCACACAAGCTGAAGCCGCAAGTAGATGAGTAGAGACGAAGAAATGAATACGTGGCTGAAACAGATGTATTTGATATTTCAATCATGTCATGTCAAGCGCTTCCCAGTCCGCAGCATGCGCGTACTCGTCGTATTCCCCACAGCGACGACCCAAGCACCGAACAAAGAACGAACAAAGAACACTCACCGCCGAACCGACTTTTCCACATCACCACAACCCTATCCCGACACCACCTCGCACGACACAGCGGTCGCACTTCCGAACCTACTCAATCCAGCACAATGACGAAAAACCATCGAACGCTTCTTTGACCACCACACAGCGCCTACGCAACCTTAATGCTCCTTCGCCTCGCACCGTCAGCCTCCGCACCCCCTCCGGGCTCACCTCCGAACCCATCCAATGCAGTAATCCCCCCTACATTACAATTGCAAAAAAGTGTAGAACGCGTCTTTGGCACTCGCGTCCAAGCGCCGTGATGAACCGGCGCCGAACCACAACAACACTGGACACTATCGCGCCCACTGCGCTGGCCGAACATGCCCGAAGAAGCAAGTTCTCAAAAGCGTCGAATGCGTCTTTGATCATAGCAGCGCACGTATAGCACCATCTCGGCCTAATCTGCCTCTAGTCGACGTTCATGTGCTGCCGGTGTGCGGTGCACACAGTGCACACGTTAGCGGGAGTTTACTGGGCACAGGGACACTGCGCCAGCGAGTCGTGCACGGCGGTCTGAGAGCTGGGCATGGCTCTCCAGGCAATATCTTGGGGGTTTGGGATGCGAGAGCCGGCGGCTGCGAGTCCGACTTGCTAAGAAAGCAAGGCTGTTGGAGGTGTCAGGCGGGGCGTTGAAGGATGCGTGTTGGGGAGATGCAGAGCGACAATGGCATTGGTTGTCAGCGAGGAGTGATCATGGGATGCAAAGATACTCATAGAATATTGCTAGTTTCTTTCTCCTCTACCCTCTGACCCCAAGGCTCTATGCGGGTTGTTGACCGAATGTCGACTCCTCCATCTGAGTCCGTCGTCTTACACACAACAGACTATGCACACATGCTGTACTTCCACGGCTCGGTGGCAGGCCAATGTATATGCAGCTCGTCCTGCTCACCGGCTCCGCTTCTCAAACAAACATGACGGTCGTGTAGCGTGACGCTTACACCCAAAATAATGGCTTAACCGTCCGAGACACAAAACAATACTCCTAGCAGGATGCAGTCCACTCCTCGTAACAACATCAACGTCTCTTCTTCACCATTTTCCTGTGTTCGTGAAATCATCACGTGCGTCCCTGCTCACCCCGCAGCATCTTTGGGATCTGCATGCCGAACGTCCTCATTGTGCCTATCATCCTCCTCCGTTCGCTCCTCCTCTTGCTTCTTGAGCAACCTCTCCTGTTCCTCCGGCTGTCTCCCCTCCTCACTCTCTTCACCCGCTATAGGATTGCTTGCGTCCTCAGCAGCCTCCTTGACCATCTCACTCGGGTTGATGATCGGGGGTTTATCCGTCGGCTTCGTATTGACCTCCTCGAGACTCGCCTTGCCCTCATGGAACCAACCACCTTTCTCCCATCCACCAGGCTCGTACAAGCACTTCCTGCGGAGATCCTTGTCGACGATGGCTGTCATGAGCTGTCTCAGGCGGTCGAATGGGATTGGCTTGAGTATCCAGGCATCGAAGCCGGCATCGATGTATTGCTGGCGGTCCTTTTCAATCAGCGAGGCGGAGACAGCGACGATGGGAATTCGGCCGCAGAGCGCGGCGCGCGGGGAGTAGATATTGGTGTGGGTCTTTTCGTAGGAGCGGATCATTTTGGTTGAGGTCAGGCCGTCGACGATCGGCATCTGGTAAATTATTAGAGCGGTGCCCGAAAGGCGGTATTCGAAGGACTAATGCTTACCTGCATGTCCATCAGGACAACATCGAAGTCCTTGGGACTATCGCCGAATGCAGATGCACATTCTTCGCCGTTGACGGTAAGATGCACTGTGTGCTGCATCTTCTCTAACCGCTTCTTGACAATTCGACTGTTGACTGGATCATCCTCTGCCACGAGAACGCGCATGTTGTCTGAGGTAAGCTTCTCGGCCTCAGTGGCAGCCACGGGCGCGGGTGGCGGCGACAATTCCCGTGATGAATGGTGGACTTCGCCGAGAATCGAGCCTATTGATCGCTGCGTAGGCGATGTGGCATTGTCGGGCAGACGGACAGCCTTGAGAGGCTGAGAGGAATATGCAATAGGCTCCTCACCAGGAGTCTTAGTATTCATGCGTCGTTGGTGGGATGGAGTCACCACTCTGCCTTCCGCGATCTCAAGACTCTTGGATCTAGGTCGTAAAGGTGACTCAGGGTCCATGCTGTTGCGCTTGGTAAGAGTAGGTCTCATTGATCGCACACTAGGGGCGATCTCCCCTTCTCCATACCCGCCTCGTCGCCTCTCGACCAGATGTGGCGCTTGGAGATCTTCGATGAGTCGGTCCACATTACTCCGTGAGCTTTCCGTTGTGGACGAAGTCGTGCCACTATTAAAGCTTCGCAAGCTAGTCTTGCTCTTCAGGCTTTCGGCACTCTGTCTTCTACTCGCAGCCGGGTGGTTGATGACCGTCCCATTCACCTGCGGAGCGCTACTGCTCGACTCATGCCGTGAAATCGCCGGAGATACCAAAGTTCGTTCGCCGCCGGGCTGTATTGAGCTACTCATTGACTCTGGCAGCTCAGAACCAGGTGTAATAGTCCCGGAGTTTGAGGCATCTGTTGGCGTTGATGACGTGAGATCCTCTTCATTATCCGGCAGATCGAATGGGAACTGAATGACAAAACGTGTACCCTTTCCCTCTTCCGATCTGATCCTGATCTGTCCGTTCATGTTTCGAATGATGCGCGCCACGACTGCGAGACCGAGGCCGAGCGCTGTCTTGTCATCGTTGGCCGTGATCTGCTTGAGGTCTGGCACTATAGCATCCTCCAAAGCACCAGTAGGCTCAGACTGGACTTGCTCCAGGTCGTAGAAGAGTTGATCCAGTCTCTTCGGGTTAATGCCAACACCGGTATCTGTAACTGCGATTTCAACTTCCACTTGATTTTTGCTGCGTCTCGACGCAACGTAAGCTTCAATCTTGACACCTCCCTGACTGGTATGTTGGATGGCATTCGCTGCGATATTCGAGATGGCCTGTCTTATACGACGCTGATCACCTATGCATGACTTTGGAAGGCCCGCGTGTTCGACAACTTCATAGTCGATTTTCTTCCGCCGAGCGTCGCCGCGGAACATATCTGTTGCCTCTTTGATGGTTTCGCTCAGCTTGAACGACTCTCCTTTGATCAGGGGTCCTCCTTCTTCCGTCTTCGTCAGATCCAAGAGATCGTTGATGACGTAAATGAGTGATTTCGATGCCGAGTGCGACCGAGCCAGGTTTTCTCGAGTCTCCGTGTCCAAGGATCCTTCGAGAGCAATCTCGAGATAATTAATGATGGCGTTCAGCGGCGTTCGGACCTCGTGAGCAGAGTTGGCGAGCAGCAACCGCGTCAACTGACTGTTCTGCAAGGCTGCCTCTTTTTGTCTCCAGACTTCAATAAATTTGCCATACACAAGGCAAAGTACTGAAGCAGTCTCTATCTCTTCTTCAGTCCAGTCGCGGCATTTGCCAACTACGGTCTCTGACCATGTCTTGAAGCTCTTCCTGGGCTCAAGGTAACCTTCAGTGCCCTCCTTAATGAACTTTTCATAAGGATTACCGGCCCACTTAACTTCTCGTAGCTGGCCTTTCCTGAAGAAAACTATGAAATCGTTGCCGCCGGCAGTCAAAGGCACGATCAACATGCCCGCAACAGTGTGGAATCCAGGCTGGTATCGAAGATCGGGGTAGTCTTGCGCGATGTCGTTAGATGTCATGACGGACTGGATCTTGCGCATCCTCAGGTATTCCAACATAGCCAAAGCTTCCTGGGAATTCTCCAGATGCCCAAGGATCTTCGTCTCATCTCTGATCGACAACAAACCAAAGTCGGCATCAAACAGCTTCAAGAGATCGTCTGAGGATGCGATAATGTAACCGGATGGGTTGTGTTGGGTGGGCACGGTGTTGATGAGCTTCCTAGCTTGTAAGCGTGATGCGTATGAAAGTCGCTCAATGTTTCGGGACGCGGAGTCGCCAACCATACGGCACATTTTTCGTATCGGGAATGAAACTCGCATGCCTCGAGCGCCATAAGAGTGACAAGCGACAAGTCCCCATAACTCATTGAAGGCATTAATGGATATTGACATAGAAGAGCGGACGGCCATGTTCGCCAAGTACTTCAAATGAATGGGTGACATGGCGCGCAGATAGGAATGTGTGAGGTCAAGAGGTGTCTCAAGATCCTCGGCGGTGCGGCAGACGAGGCGAGCTGCCTCTTGCTCGCGATCGTAAAGCATGCGGACCTTGTTGAGCTTGTATAGCTCTCTGGCCTGTTTTGGGATATCTGACGCAGGAAAGTTCAGCCCCTTGTACAGGTCCTTTGTGGCGCGAGGATCGACAAGCTCAGTGACAACTCGACCGTTGAATGTTTGGTCAAACTGATATATCATGACGCGATGGAAGCCTGTCAATTCCTTGACGACGCCGACTAAAACTTTGAGGAATTTGTCGAGGGTGGGTGCCGCCGCAAGCTGCTCTTGAACCTGTGACATAATATTGAAAATTTCCATTGCAGCAGCCTCGCCCCTCCTCTTTCTTGCACTTCGCAGTACTCTGAGAGGCCGACTCTTAACCTCAGTACTCTCGAGGTACTCTTCTTGTGTAGGATTACTCGACAATGTGTCCTCGGGAAGTTCGGGCGTCATGTCGTTCGGTGGGACTAGGGGAAATTGTGGATCGTCTTCGAGTTCAAATTCGCAGATAATCAACCCAGGATTGGCGTCGTTGGTATGTACCGCGCACCAAAGCTTTCTTGTCCGCGACACTCCTGGTACCTTGATCGACATTGTGAAAACCTCGGGACCGTTGGTCAAAACGTCGGAGTCTTCGTCTTTGATAAAGTCAATGTGATCGAGAAGATTGTCGGCTTGCTCTTCGGACAGGATATCTGTGAAACTCTCCAATGCAAAGAGCTCCTTCGGTGTGCGCCCAATAAACCGCCTAGAGTTCTCAGAGACAACACGAACGAGAAGGCCTCCATTGCCCTCAGGGTCGTCCTGCAGCGCAATCAGAAGACCAAATCCTTGCACAGCGCCCGGTATGTGGATAGGTTCATCCTCGCAGCGCTGTAATATGTCGCCTTCTGGGCCTGTGATAACCATATGACCTCCCTCGGTAACGACGTGCTTGAAGCGCGGCGTTATTAAGCTGCCCATCTCGCCGACGCTGCTGAGCGTGCTTCGGACCGAACCACCGCCGGGGGATGATGGGGGGTCTGCCGCCTTGAACGACGGCGACCGGCCGCTTTCTCCGACCACACTATTTCCCGGACTCGAAGATGAAATTTCCTGGAAGAGTGACGCAGGCAGCTGCAACTTTGATCTGTCCAACCTTGTTGGCGCGGAATTGGTATTCTCCTGTGTTGGTGGGGCTTCTTCTCTTCCAGAAGTAGTCGAAGGCCGTTGAGGTTGACCTTGACGTTGGGAAGCGCGCGATGCATTTGATGCTGCAGAATCTGATGGCCGCCGCGAGTCGTTCGCGCGGGAGTATTGATGGAAGTAGTCGCCAGCATACTGCCCAGTGGGCTTTGGGGTAGATGTTGGGTTGGGATCGACTGAGACGACACTTCGTATAGGGAACACGCGGTCGTGTGCGGCTGGGCTCAGCCCTGATGCCGAGGGCGAGTATGGCCCCACATTGGTGCTGACGTTGTAGTGAGCAGGCAGCGGGGCACTGGCTGGCTTCGAGCTGTTCATAGCAAAGTCGACCGTCTGCGTATGGGCCTCCAACGCTGGCAATGGGTCGTGATCGTTGGGCACTGGCGCGGGAGAGGCCTGGTCTGCATCGCCGTGGTCGCCATGGTCGTCGTGGGTAGCAGAGTGTTCGGCATCCTGGGGCTGCTGTCGTGATTGAGACATGGGGGCGTGGCTCTGTATCCAGCAGCGCGGGGAGTTCTTGGTGGTTGGGAAGGTGGTGGCGGGCCTGGCGAGTTCGGGGTGGTGGCTGCGCCCGCACAGGAGTGTGTCGCTCTGTCTGCTCAGACGTCCATGAATGACGGTAACGTGCTGTTGGAGGCTGCCGGTGGCGCGAATGCTGGCAGGTTTTGTCGCGATGCTGCTCGCCTTGGCGTTACGCAGGGTACGGAGAATACTAGGTGGGAGTGGGTGGCGGAGGGCGGAGCCTAAAGCGTCCTGGGAAGATCAACGTCGTTCTGGCCGGACCCGGCATGCAAGAGGCAGTCGCGCCGTGGATGTGGAACAGGTGAAGATGCGTCAAGAACAATGGCTATGCCAGCAACTCATCTTCTGGCAGATGGTGCAAGTGGCCAGCGGCAGGAAATCACGACCACGGCGAGCCGCAAATGTTGGCGTGTATGACCACCTGCGAAGGGGAAAGCTCACGGGGACGCTTGTAGCGTTGTGTGGCTTGCACCGCTTGATGGACTCACAGATGTCGATCTCAGGGAGCAAGACTTGGAAGATCGGCGGCCCACTAGGTACTTGGCCCCTCGCAGCTAGGCTGGTCTGGCTGGCAAGATTAGCCCTACGGGACAGCTTTTGCGTCGTGGGTGCTGAGACCGCCGACGCCGAGGGAGAAGATGGGAAAGTTGAACGAAAGATGCAACTGTGCGCGCCGATTGCCGCGCTCATCAGGAGTGATACAACGACGTCATTACTGCTGGTTAGAGTCAAAAGCTAGACTACTGGCCCTGACACATCTGCTCAATGCGGCCCAGTCCCTCTTGAACACGGCGAAACGCCTCCAGCTCAGCTTCCATCACGAGGCGGTGCGCGAAGCCTGTCCCTGGCGAGCCCATGCCGGGTCACGGCAAGCGGTCCATCTGAGGGACGGAAGGACCGAAAATGAATCAGGTCTGCAGATGGGACCGAAAAGTTTGATCTCCACCACTACTGGGGCTTGCTAGGTATCCAGCCAATGTGGCCCATACGAGGTCTTAGAGCTGCGGAGGCACCAGGGTCTGATGGGAATCTTGAAATGAAACTGATGTGCAGCTTGGTAATGGTCATCTTCCGCCATCTGCAACAGTGTTTCAGGGGTGCAAGTCAACATTCAAGTCAACATTCACCGCGACGTGCCGTCCACCTGTCATTCATCACAGCTACGTCTATCACGTGAAGCAGCGTTCTCCACAGCTGCCTATATGGCTCTGCGGACCACGTCCATGTCCGGCGCCTTCTGAGTCGTTGGCGCAATCATCAGGATCAAGATGGCTGCCAAGCCTTTCGTTGAAGCGCCATTGAATTGCAATTATTCCACGGAGCTTGTGTTCTCTTACGTAGTTCCCCACACTGACGAACCGAACTTTCGACATCTGAAGGCGCCTCATCTGCGGCTCGTCATGCACCTGTCAATGCCCAATCCCTTGATGGATAGAGGGTCCGCGGTGGTGTGAAGGAGGGTTGTGGGGCAACGGCCAACGGCGGTCTGGCTTTTGTGACACGATCCCATGCTTCAGATCGCTGACCGCACATCGAATTCACCACCCTGCATACTAGCCTTAGCCATATCGACCTTATGACCTCGACACCAGCCGAGCGCCCGCTGAAGGTTCTCGTCGCTCTTACTGACCCCGTTGCCTCGAAATTCGGGTCTGCGGTTGTTGCGCGCCTGCAGCGACTCGAAAATGTCTCTCTGCGCATCATAGCTCGCACACCGTTTCCCACGTCAGCATTCACGACCGTCTCACCGAACCTCGAGCCTGTCTGGCACACATACAGCACCGAGAGTAGTACGCCTGGGTGGCAACACGAAGATTATGTTGAGACACAGGTCGCCGGGTACTGCTCATGGGCGGACTCGCTCGTCCTTGCGCCGCTGGACGCGGAGAACATAGCGCAGATGCTGCATGGCTTTACGAGCAGTCTCCACCTGAAGATACTCCGTAGCTGGGATGTGTCGAAGAAGATCCTCCTGATACCGGGCATGTCCACTCTGCAGTGGGAGCACCCCATGTCAAAGAAGCAGATCAGCAAGATAAAGAAGAAGATGAACTGGATCCGCGTTCTGTCTCCGTTACTCTGGAACCACGATCAGGCCGGGAAGAAGGTTGTGCCATGGGGAGGATACAAAGAATTGAGCGAGTCTGTACAAACACAAATCGACCTGATGGCGGTTGGCGAACGTAGCGCCGCACTCATGACCGCACATCTTCCTGCACTGAAGCCGCTAAAGAACAAAGGACCGCGTCTGCCACCAGAGCTATGGTCCATGATATTGGAGTTCACAGAAGACTGGGAGCTGGCTACAACACTCAATGTGCACACCAACCTGCCCGTGCCTCGCGAGTGGCAACAGGCGGCCAGTGAGGCCGGACCCAAGACGCAGATGCAGAAGCTGGGCTGGACACTACTCACGTGCAGCTATGCAGATATTGCGAAAGCGTTCGATACAGAAAAGCCTACTCGCATCACTCGGCCATGCCTCGATCTCATCATGCGATTTGCCATGGTGCCTGTTCTCAAGCACCTTGAGTACTTCCACAAAGATCTCTTCTGGCAACATTTCGGCCACACGTTCCTCCCACACAAAGCATCCCTCTTCAGCAAGACCGAGATCCTCGACTACTGGCGAACATCGCCCACGTTCTTGACCAAAGAGTACTCGACCGAAGCCATGGACGCTGCGTCCCGCAACAACTCTACAAAGGCCCTCGACTGGTGGTACAACTCTGGGCTGCATCTCAAGTACACGGAAGCTGCACTCGAGCAAGCATCCTCACAATGTCATCTTTCCGTCCTGCAGTGGTGGAAGGAGCACTCGCGGCACCGCACACCACCAACGCCTGGTGAGGAGGCGCCGCCTGCTAAGCTTCGCGACCCCCTGAAGCTCAAAGTGGGCAAGTCGATAACGTATGCAACACAGTCAAACAAGCTGGATGCAATCAAGTGGTGGGTCGACAGTGGCGTGCCGTTCTCACACGAGGACACGGTCACAAAGATCGCCTCGACACATGGCCACACGAAGATTCTGGACTACTGGAGATCCACTCGCGGCGAGAAGATGCTCTATGACAACCAGGTGTTAGTTGGTCCGACCAAGATGGGCAAGGCGAACGTGCTCGATTGGTGGAAGAAGAGCGGGCTGAAGGTCGAGTATAAGACGTGCGACATTGAGGAAGCACTGGAGGACGGCGTCGAGGGCGAGGCTGGCGAGAGCGTGCGACGGTGGTGGGCCGAGAACGGGCTGAATCTGGGGGTGGGGACGAGTGAGTGGATGAGGGTCAAGACTTTGGATTCTTGAGACGATTGCAGCAATGATTCTCGGGGGTCAGCATAGCATAGCAATGTGGTTTAATTAAGCGTTGTAAAGACCAAGTCGGAGCAAGCTCGGTGCATGTAACCTGGCAGTCGAGCACGGCAACTGCCAGCAGGATCCTCTGCTGTGAACAACACATGCAGTTGATGGCCGAAGTCATGGCGGAAGTGATTGCGGAGGAGAGTGCGGAACTGATGCCTCGCGAAAAGAGCGGCGACAGTGAAGCCGTGGTGCCGGGAGCTTTTGCCAGATAGGTATGGCAGGATTCTGGGATCGCAAGCAGCACAGCCAATCACAGGTGCCATGATTTGTTGACTGTCAACCGTGTGTCGCCGTAGGCCTTCGCGAGCACATCCGCAGCCGGACGTCAATCCCGCTCCGCTCGACTGCTGCCAGATAATCTTCCCGTTGCTCACCGACGTTCCTCCACACCACTCGACACACTCCACTGCCCGCAATCACGCCTCGACGCTCGCTGCCAGCCCCTTGAACTCGCCTCCTGTGCTACCGCGACAAATTTCACCACACCTCACCATGTCTGAGACTAAGGAATTCACCTACTCAGACGTCTCGGAGCACGCCTCCAAGAAGGACCTCTACATTGTCATCCACGACAAGGTCTACGACTGCACAAGCTTCGTCGACGAGCACCCGTACGTTGCCCCAGCCAGGCGGTCACGATCTGCCTACGGTCCTGCAGCCCCCGCGTGGCGCCGACAACGCATTGAGGGGCGCGAGCGATGTCTTGTTGAGCACAGGATGCTGACTGATGCGCAGCGGTGGTGAGGAAGTCCTCCTCGATGTTGGTGGCCAAGACTCGACCGAGGCTTTCGAGGATGTCGGCCACTCGGACGAGGCGCGCGAGATCCTCGACGGTCTGCTCGTTGGCACCCTGAAGCGCCAGGTACGCCTTCCCAGCTCTATGCACTCTCCGCGACGCTCCGAACCCCGTCCACGACGTCTCAGGTCGTCTGCCCCCCCCGGAACTGTTCCCCACATGCGCCGTGCAATCTGGCACAGAGAAGCTGACATGACTCAGGCGGGCGACCCCACGCCCAAGACATACGGACACACCAGCTCGACCGCCTCCACAACCGAAGGCGCCTCGACCGGCGTCGGTCTCTACGCCATCATTCTCATTGGCGGTGCCCTCGCCTTCGGTGCCTACACGTACCTCCAGAGCCAGAGTGAGCAGCAGTAAATGCGTCCTATTGAGGCACCGCGACCGGCAACGCACAGGCTGAGCGGCGACGGCGCACGGCGAATCCGTCGACGGCACGACGAGCACGGTCCGGGCATCCTACGAGAGCCGTGTAGCAGAGTTCGAGGGCACGGGCGTTAGATCTCGGCAGTTGAGCTTGAGCACATAGGGCACATTACAGGCGCACAAGATGTTCAGCTACATTCTGTATGAAGGGCTTTGGGATAGATGGCAATCCAATTTTGACACAAGCCCACACGTCTCTATAAAAGCGTTGCTGATTGTGCAGTAACCTCGTATCACAGCTCTCTGGGACTACGTTTCCACAGCCCAAGGGGAGCTGCACACGTCCCCCGGATACCCAAAGTCCCGTCGGCCGAAATGCCCACCCTCCGCAACAGACGCGAGCTAGCCAGGTTCACAGCCAGACCGCCAGCAAATGCCAACCGAAAGCCCACCGATAGCCCACCGAAAGCCCTTTCCGAGATCCAAGATCTTCTGCAACCCCCGCAGCCCTTCCCGCAGAATCCTGAGTTGCAGACACGAGTCTGCCGTTGTGCGGTGCCCGGCCGGGTCCTGTCGGATAGCGTCCGAGCCAGCTCCGAGCTTCACGTGCGCCATGTGCCGTTCACCAACGGGCTGACGTCGCTCTCCAACCATGACCTGGACCCGTGTCGGACACGACTACGTAGTATGCCATCGACAGCATGTGTCGACAGTGTTTCTACGACGTTCCGTGAAATATCCTGCGATGCATCGACACCGACATGACGTCTACACCCCAGTTACCGCGCGACACAACACCCTCACCACCCCTCCTGCGCCAAGCAGAGTGAGCACATCGCCTCTGCGGCCTAGCATACACATGCCATCCAGCGTCCCATAGCGACACCGAGCTGTCTGCATGGAAGAGTGGGATCATTGAGGCCAGCAAACACGAAAGCAGGGTTTCTTTTAAGCGGCTTCCGTCGCAGACTCTGCTTCTGAATACACCATGAGTTTGCTGTGTGTGGATGGTGCGTTCCAAGAACCATTTAGTACCAGCTTGGTTTCTAGAGAGCGACGTAAAGCGGACAGAGGGCAACAAGACCGATGGTAGCCATAACAATGATATTGCAATGCAACAGCTCCGCTCATATATACACAACAAGACGTCTAAACCAGCGGACCAAAACACCACGCCATGCAACATGTACAAACGGCCCACCGCCACCACCCACTCCTCGTCATCACCACTCAGTAGTACTCGGGCAGATCGGTAAACGTATCCAGCCCATCGACGCCGTTATCAGGACACGACCAATCCCTATCGTACGCCGTTGTAGGAAGGATGCCAGCAGCCATGCCGCGGCGATAGCTCCACTGCGTTGCCTTCTCCGTCTCCCATGTCCAGTAGAACCAGCCCCAGCCGGCTTCAAACGCATCCATCTGGCCAATGGCAAACTGGTAGAGCCACTTCTTGTAGTCGGCGGTGTAAGTCGACGGATCGGCGTTGGCCGGGTCGCAGGTGCACTTGCCCTGCACGGGGCACTGGGGCTTCAGGATCGCGGTGGAGAGGTTGCCCGTGTCGTATGTGCCCTCCCAGCGCGTGCCGATGTTGACGTTGTTGATGTACTGCGTGCAGTCTGTGTCGGCCTGGGACCATTCGCCGCACATTGTGGGCCCGAAGCCGGTTGTCGTGTCCATGCTGCGCAGGCTCTGCTGCGTCCAGGCTGAACATGCAAAATTCAACTTGTCCCTGTGGCCGAGCGAGAGCTGGTTGACGTTGAAGATGACGTATTGGTGCACGTCGAGCAGCAGGTTCTCGTTGCCTTGTAGTTTGCCCTGCCAATTGTCGAGGCCCATGAAGCCGTCGCCGAACACGATGACGGCACTGATGTTGTCGTTTCGGATCTGCGTTATGGCCGTTTGTGTCCAGTTGACGACGCGGTTGGTGTCGAGTTCGACGTTGCGCGGCTCGTTGACCAGGCCGTACATGGTCACCACGTTCTTGTAGCGCGGCTGTGCGAAGAACACGGAAAGCTTGTGGTGGACGTCGAGTGTGCGTTGTGCGTTCAGGTCCCCGTCTGTGCCGTTCAGCCACCCGATTACGCCCTGGCGGCCGGAGTGGTTCCAGCCGTTCTGCGAACCAGGAGCGCCGTGCAGGTCGAGGTTCACGCGCAGCCCGTTTTGGCGACAGTATTCGATGCCGCGGAGGAGGTAGCGCCATGAGACTTGTGCGAGATATGGGTCGCCGTCGTAGGTCTGCACGATCCAGTAGCCGAAGGGGAAGCGCACGTGGTCTATGCCTGCAGCACGAATCTCCTTGAAGGTTTGCTTGTTGACGAAGGCGGAGTAGTGTTGCTCAAGCGTGCTCTTTGCTTTCGTCGGACCGAGCTTGGTGAGGAGAGTGTATTCGTCGACGACGCCGTCGCGGGCGCCAAAGTTCTCGAAGAAGGAGGGTGTGATGAAGGGCTCGAGGTTGAGCCAGCCGCCGACGTTGACGCCGCGAATGGGCGTCTTGCCGTACTCGAAGGAGTCTTGAAGGTTAGGGACTTTGGAGTTGGCTTGTACGTCGTCGTTCCAGGTCGAGTTGAGGCCGATGATGGGGAGGCCGCCGACGAGCTCATTGGTATAGGTGACGTTGAAGTCTTCGGTGTCGTACCACGACCAGGGATCGAGTATGCCGCCCTTGTCCGCCTGAGGCACGCTGTTCGGGTCTTTCCCGTCGAGGTTGCTGTTCTTTGGTGTCGACTGCCCGGCCGCAGTATCGCTTCCTGATGTGTTGTTGCTCTTTTTGTTCGACATGAGAACTGCAATAGGAATGATGATGGCCAAAAGAATAAGAACGGAGACTACACCAATGATGATCTTTTTCCGCTTCTTCTTCCTTGCCTGCTCTGCCGCCGACAGCACAGTTGGCGTGCTGCCCGCCCCGCCCCGCTTCTCCATCATGTATTGGTGCTCGTCGTCGTCATCAATACCACCCTCTTCGGCCAGTGGTCCGCTCACAACTCTGCTCTTCCTCTTCTGTTTCTCACGCTGTCTCCGCTCTCTCCTCTCCTCGATCTCGCTCGCAGTATACCGCGCCTCATCTCTCCGTCTACGCTCGCGTTCATCCTCTGTCCGACTCGCTCTCTTGCTCTCCATCCCCGCCAGATCGCCCAACGCCACCGCCCCACCCTTGACCTCTCTACTCTCCCTCTTCTTCCTTCGCAGCTCTCTCTGTCTCCGCCTCTCCTTCTCCTCAAGAACCTCCCTGTCGCTCTCCTCAACCTTCCTCCTCTCTTCCTCCTTCTGCGCTTTCTTCTTCTCGTCCTTGCTCGTCTTGACGCGGTCCTTCTCAAGCTGCTTCTCCTTGCGGCGGACCTCTTTGAGATAGTCTTCGTCGTAGTCATACCCGCGCCACCCGCCATTCTTCTTTGCTACTTCCTTGTCCAGCTTTGCGAGGGCGTCGAGGCTCAGAGGCGCCGCGGACTTGCGGTCGCTGGTACTGGGACGCCGGCTGCGGCGCCGGGGCGCAGAGCTATCCCATTCCGAGTCGCTCTGGTATCTGCTGTCGCGGGGCGCTTGGGAGGAGTCTCGAGGAGTGCGGGAGGCGCGGTTCGCCCTTGAAGAGTCTCGGGGAGCGCGCGAAGAGCTTCGCGGCGCCTGCGACGAGTCGCGGTTCGTTTGATGGCTCGTCCTTGGACTCGGTCTTAATAACTCGCCCTGGGAGTCCGTCGCGCGATGCCCTTTTCTCCTCCTGCCCTCGAATTCATATGGTGTATTGCTTTCTCGTCGCCTACGCGGGCGGTCGGTGCCTGACGTCTCGCCGTGGGACTCGCGACGTCTGCGTCTCTCGTCGCCGCGCGGCCGGCGGTGCGACGGATCGCGCTCCGAGTCTGTGGGCATCGCCCTGTAGGTAGCCTCGATGTGGGTGCGAGGAATGCGTGCGTGAGGTATGTGGGGTTGGAATGCGGCTGAAGAGCTGCAGCTGCAGGGACGCGCGCGCTTGAGCCTTGCGGGAAAGACAGTGAGAGTAGTGTTACATGCGGTAAGAATATCAAAAACGCTTGAAAAAAGGATGCGCAACGACGATCAATTCAATATGTACAATGGCGCAGCAGTTCCAAGGTTCTGGTTTCTCGACGGCTGAGGCGTCGTTGCTATGGGGACGCAAGTTGACGTGGCTAAGTGCAGCGGCTGGCTTGGTGTCAAGCCAGCTTGGGGCCTCTGAGCCCGTGCTGGACTCTTGGAGTCTCGCACTTGGTCACTCTTCCAAGGCTGCACGACTCGTTTCGAGACTTGGTGCAAAAACTTGGATGCTAAGGACATGTGTCAAGACAGTGTCAAGACGGAAGTCGGGTAGTGGAGCTTACTGATCATGATTTGTTTTGATGTGACAGAAGCATACGTGCGTCTATCTGTTGATACTGAGCACCATATCGGTCATGCTGGATAGTTTGGGCAATTGTATATATCGAAGTCCTGTATCCTGGCCAATGGAGCCTCGCGGTCGTGCATGTGCAAGTGATCTGCCGCACAGCTGTACCCCCAGTCAATTGAGATGTATTACATCATATCACGTGATGCCGAAGCCCAACTTGTTTTCACGATGGCAGAGGAAGTATGAGAGATAGTAATCGTGATCATTGTTGTTTGGTGATGCGATCGCATCTGTGGTATCATGAAAGTGAAAATGTAATCAGGTCGTCGCAGGCGGTGCTCCTAAGAAAGCCTGTACAGAGCCTGCGATGGCACGCCATGTCTCTAATCCCGGTGGTCCGCGGGCGGATGCGCTCGCTGTGAAAATGCCTGTATCATGTAGATTACCCCCAACTGCCGTCTCAGATGAGATCGTATGCCCTCTTTACACAGCGAACAGTAGCTGTAATCGGCACGGCAGTCCTGGCCGGAAGAGGTTGCAGAGCAGGTCCATGGTCGTCATGTGACTGTCTGGTTGGTGAAGTCGCTCACTTTAGTATGGCTGTAAGCGCTCAGGACGAGGCGACTGCTGACGAGCTCGCGCTGTCAGAAGCCTTGCTTTTTCCCTTTTCTACGGCCTTTGACTTCTCGTCGTCTGACGCGTAGAGGCCGTGCTCGTATATGTAGTCGACAACCTTGTCCGGAATGTAATAACGGATGCTCTTGCCGCGCTTGCGGAACAGGCGGATTTTAGTTGAGGAGACATCGTTCTGAATGAGCTGCGGGATAACACGAATATTGTCTTTCCACTCCTGGAGGCTGACAAGTGCATCATCTGTGCTATGTTAATGTTGTGATCATCGAAAAGCGGTAAGCAGAAATCATACCGATATCGGTGCCGCTGCGCTCAAGGATGAACGCGCCGTAGACGCCCAGAATCCTCCTTAGATCCTCCTTCGCCCAAAGTCCAGGAGTGCTCATGGTCTGGATGAGGTCGGCGCCTGCGAGCAAAGCAACGTGGATTTTCTTCTTCTCGCCAGTCGATGTCTCAATACCGCCCATGACCTCATTCAGTTCGTGATCGAAGTGGTCCAAAACCTTGACTGTAGGCATGTACTCTTTGTGAAGCGGCTCCCACGGATCAACACCAATCCAGGTAGAGCTGTCACCGACGGCGATTCTGGTCATGTTGATGCGGTGATGTGCGGATGCGAGGCCGGCTTTCTTGTAAGCATCGCCGACAGGGCTGAAGAACCCGCCGACAACCTCATACTCGGTCTCGAACTCGCAGAAGTCTGTCGCTTCTTCGAACATGCGAAGATGAAGATTGGTCGGTGGGGAGAAAGAGCCGCAAGATACGAGAACGATTGGTGTCTTCTCATCATTGGACAGCTTCTTCTTCAGCCTATCCGCGGGAAACCGGTAGTTGTCCAAGGTCATGGTGTCTGTGTTGTCGATTCCAGCGTCGAGGACGATATCGCTGTTCGAATTCGAGGTCATATTTACGGTGGCGTGTGTGGCGAAAGTAGTTACAAAAGTGCTCGGTCGAAGAGTCGAAGAGCGAGGGGCTTCCTCCGCTCGGAGGTTGGCCGGCTAGTGGGTGAAAGGCAGAGGGTGTGGCGTGGTGGGGCTGGAAACAGCGTTCGCGTCGCAGTGGTGCCGTGTGTCGCGGATCTGAAAGGCAGAGTTAATTGAGGGCGGCGCAGCGACATTTGTTTGCGCAAACCTATCAGAAATGGGGTCTGCGAATGCAGGCTGCGAGACACCGGCAGTGGTTCAAGTGACCTGAATGCTGAGGTATGACGCGAAACTAGGCAAGTTCCGGTTGTGGAGGGGCAGACTTCAACGGCAGGCGCAGGCTGGTGAGGTGAAAGTGCTGAGGGGATTACAGGACGAAGGGAAGAGGACAGGCGCCATTTTGTAGGCTGGGTGTAGCTCCAGGCTGCGGTTCAGGTATCCCCGCTGCCGATTAGTAGTGCGGCCAGAGTCCGTCTGAGTTCGAGACGACCCAAGGGCCAGTGCCCGCAGTTACCGGTTCACGACCCGCGCTAGATCCAACGCCTGGAGAACTTCTGCACAGATCTGCGCGTCTGCAGGTGAAACGTCTGCTGCATCCGAGTATTCGCCAGCATTGGGGGTAATTTCCGTGACTGGGCGCACCATCTTACAGCAAATGCGGAGCCTCACGTGCATCGATGGCGCGATTGTCGGCCTTCTCCCCACCTTCGCTGTCGTCCGCGCTTCGGCCTTGAGATTAGAACCCGTGGGATGCTGAGAAATCGAATGTGATTGTGCAGGGGATGTGTCGACAAATCTTCGCTATGACTAGGTCATTACCATAATCAGATTTCGAAGCGTGGACTTTCGTACCCGTAAAAGCGCGACACTCAACGTTAAACTTTCTTGTTCACTGCGAGTCAGAAGAGCCGCAATTGTATCTTGTTATGCACTTGTTTTGCACAAGACGTCTCAAGCACCTATACGACAAGAGCGGATTCCTTATTACAGACTTTGTAAGACACCTCCGGCAGCAGTAGCTCCAAGTATGCAGATAGTGCTCACCTGGGCAGGTAAGATGCTTCGACAGTGCCTTTACGTGATGTGATGTCTACTCACTTCGTCGAAGAAGACCTTGATGTCTACCTGAGTCTCGACCGATACATAGATGCGCACACAAATAAAAAGACAGACAAAGAATGCCCTTGAGCATGGACAACTTGTGAACAAACCGGACAAGAATCCACCCACCACGCGGGATCTTGCTGAAGTGAAGCATCAATTACCTTGAAGGATTGGACTACAGGGCTGGTGAGGCTGAAGTCTGGCTGAGACGGCAGGAATAGTCGACCGTTTTGACCAGGAGAGGAGGGAGTCTCACTGCCACCGTCACAGGAATAGGCTTTGTTTGTTTGCACTACTGCACGCGTATTAGTCTGGCCATTTCACGTAGTTGAGAAAGAACGGCCTCGTGAAGGCACTCGCGCCACGCTGCTCGCTGTTCCCTTGATCGTCACTTCCACAATCGGATAAGCTTAGCGGCCGCGATGTTCAGATGTCACGGCCGTCACTCTGCTTAGCCTCCTCACATCGAAGCAGATCTACCATTTCTACATTGTTGCAGAACACTTCCGAGCATCACACTCTTTTGCCTGCCTGATCGAGTCGCCACCTCGGTCTCCACCTTGCCGCTGCAATCCAGTGCGTTTGCAGACAGATTCACCGCACTCGCTTGAGCACGCCCGCCTACATGGCGACCTATGGATCGTCCTCGTGAAAGCCCCGACCACCAGCGCAACAGCAGGTACGATTACATTTCGCTCGTTTTTCGACGCCTGCAGTAGTCCGCTACGACAACGCGTTCATTTACTACAACTTCCAACCCACACACACCTTGCTGCTGCCACGGCCTACAGCTGTCACGGCCCACCACCGCGGCAAAGCCAGCGCATGCCATCCAGTTTGCTAGACATACAATCAGAATCTCATGTCGTCCAGAGTCACACGCTCGTCTGCGAGGCCTTCAGCAGGCTCCTCCAACGACAATCCGCCAAACCCTCCCGCCGCTCCTCCACCCCACTCGGCGACTGCCGCCTCTCGCAAACGGAAGAAGACCGCTGTTGAATCAAACCCAGCGCGACCCAACGAGGCAGCAGACACACCGCCGACGCGTAGTGGTCGTGCTAAGCGCGCCAAGGTTGAGCCGGAGAACTCTTCTGCTGCAGCACCATCACGCTCTAAGAAGGCGAAAGGCAAAGCAGCCATGTCGTCATCTGGGTATGTGGAAGCTGGCTTGCAGGAAAGCCCGACGCTGACGGGCAAAAGACCCTCAACAGATCCAGTAGCAGAGAAGTCCTCGCGGCGAGGGAAAGGCGGCCGCAAGAGCACAGTTTCAGGTGAAAACTTGCAGATCCGTAGAGGTTCTTTACCACATACTGAACAAATCCCAGGTACTCCTTCTACATCAAGACACAATTCACGAAAGTCTACAAAGATGGAGGAAGACACAGCCATGGAAGACGACCCCGAGAACAAGTCCGAAGACGAACCGCATACACCCGGCGACGAGCGCACGAGCGACGACGATAATGATGTCGGCGCAGGTACTCGCTACGACGAGGACGATGACGAAGACGAGGACGATGATCCCTTTACCAGCGGCTTCCTTGGGCGCAATCCACACGCCAGCCTCTCGGCGCTTAGACAGCTTACCGGGATGATGTCTGGTACAGCCCAGCGGCTACGGGGAATATTGGAACAGCTCAAGTCACCAGATGTGTCTTTGCAGCTTATTGCTCTGCAAGACCTGTCCGAGTTGCTTCTGATGGCTACCGAAGACATGCTAGCTGGTCACTTCTCACCAGACGCATATGTCAAGGAGCTGGTTAAGCTGATGCAGCCAAACGACTTCACCGGCGAGGAGAATCCAGAGGTCATGCTGATCGCCTGTAGATGTTTGGCCAACTTGATGGAAGCTCTGCCCGCCGCAACAGCAAACGTTGTATATGGCGGCGCTGTGCCGGTGCTCTGCTCAAAGCTGCTCGAGATTGACTTTATTGATCTTGCAGAGCAGAGCTTGAGCACGCTGGAAAAGATCTCGGTCGAGTTTCCAACACAGATTGTACGGGAAGGTGGGTTGACGGCGTGTCTGACGTTCCTGGACTTCTTTGCGACTAGCACACAACGGACAGCAGTCACGACGGCTGCAAACTGCTGTCGCAACATCCCCGACGACTCCTTCGCAACCGTGCGAGATGTCATGCCGATTCTGGAGAACATCCTGAACAACAGCGATCAGAAGGTTGTTGAGCAGGGGTGTATCTGTGTTTCGCGGATCGTGCAGAGCTTTAGACACCAGGAGGATAAGCTGGAAGAGCTGGTCAGCCCAGGATTGCTGAAGGCGATGCTGGCGCTCCTGCTCCCTGGAACAACAAACCTCATCGGACCACACATTCATACCATGTTCCTGCAGGTCATTGCCTATACAGCCAAAGCAAGCCCAAGGTTGTCAGCTGAGCTGCTCAAGATGAACGTGGTCGATACCTTGTACCAGATTCTTACAGGCGTGTCTCCACCCAGCGGCACAGAGGACGTTGCGACCAAGATTGACTCAGTTGTCATCATGCAGGCGCTGATCCACCGGCCAAAGGACCAAGTGTTCGAAACCCTCAATGTCATCTGTGAGCTTTTGCCCGACGTTACGAACGATGGGCTCTCGTACCTGGAAGACCTGTTCGATGCGGGCTACCCTGGACGTGAACACCCACCGTTGTCATCCGAGGGCAAGAAGACCAGCAACGAGAAGCGTGTGGAGCTTTTCGAGGAATGCAAGACCGAGGTTAAGCGCTTCGCAGTCATCCTGCTTCCCACCCTCACAGATGCATATTCGAGCACTGTCAACCTGAATGTGCGACAGAAGGTACTCACTGCGCAACTGAAGATGCTCTCCAATCTAGACACCGACATCCTTGAAGAAGCATTGCGTGCTGTGCCTTACGCGTCATTCCTGGCATCAATTTTCTCGCAGCAAGATCATCCTACTCTAGTGACCTACGCTCTTCAAGCAGCCGAGTTGTTGCTGAAGCGCCTGGAGCCCATCTATCGGTACCAGTTCTACCGTGAGGGCGTCATCGCAGAAATTTCCGTTCTGGCGAACCGACCCACCAAAGCGCTGGAAGTCCGCACGAAGGAGTCAAAGCCAGAAGTCGATATTGAAGTCATTCAAGACTCTGATGCGAATGCCGCTCCTGTAGTAGATCAAATTGTCGAGTCAGAGGCTGCGGAACCTATGGACCTCGAGCCACAGTCTGAAAATAACGATGACGAGGATGAAGATGAGGACGACGACCGCAACGAGAATGGAGAAGATCAGGATGACGATGATGATGACTCGGATTCATCATCTTCATCTGACCATAATCATCTACCGCTCCCCAATATCGACGACATCATCACTCTACGTGCTAAGAAGTTCATCGAAGTTCATGAGAAGGACAACGACAAGCTAGTACGAGACAAGGCATCTGCAGTGCTGGATGACCTGAAGTCGCTCGCGAAGGACCTCAAGGAGTGCTCATTGCAAAGCAACATGGCCAACTGTTCGCAGTTGTTCATTCGCCTGGCGAAGTACTTCGAAGGCAATGCTCTCGAGAGCATCACCAGCTACGAGTTGAAGTCATCCAAGATCGTGGATGTACTACTAGAGGTATTTTCGACCGACGTTCCAACCAGCAGCATCGACCCACGGTCCTTGTTTGTCGAGGCGTTCATGGGCACCAGCAACAAGATCAAGATCAAGACCGCTAGCAGTGCGTCTCCTGCAACGCCGTTCAGCGTCCTGGTGAACAAGCTTCAGGATCTTCTGAGTAGATCAGAGCACTTCGAGGTAATCACTGTTCACCAAAACTCCTACGATGGTCGTGGTAGCGCCGCGAACATGTTGGCGAAGCAACTTCGACTGAAGCTTGTCGCGGAGGACGATTCCGGTATCCCAAAGTCATACCGCAATATCATGGTTTCCATCCACGCTATCGCCACGTTCAAGGCGCTGGATGACTACCTTCGACCACGTATGCACGTGGCTGCAGAGCGACCGCAAGGAAGCAGGACACGGGATCAATTTGCTGCCTACGCTCAAGCGCTGGCTGAGGGACGTGCGCCCCCCCCTCCAGAGACACCCAGCGAATCTATGAGCCGATCCTCGAAGAAGCCTTCCAAGTCAAAGTCACGGACCAGCGAAGATCACGAGGCTGGACCAAGCTCATCACGAGACAAAACGCGTCGCTCGAGCCGTCGTCAACAGACACAGCCCCCACCTCCCCCACCTCCCCCTCCAGCTCCAAAGGCTTGCTCGAGCAGTAGTCAGGATCCGCTCGAGTGCGCTGACGAAGAGCGCCTGTCCGACCCGGAGTCAATGGACGAGAACGCTGCCTTGAACGCTATCGTTGATGAGCTCGAGGAGGAGCTCGAGAACGAGCTCGAGGATGCGCTTGACAATGACGAGTCCGACCCATCCGCCGTCAGCGTTGAGGTGGCGTCTACTGGCAAGGCCACGGCTCGCCAGGAAGATGGTACCCGCATCGCTACGCCAATTCCAGGCACACCATCAGCGAAGCCTTCAGAGCGCCTTAGCACACCAGCCTCGCGCTTGACTGCGTTGTTGCAAGATTCTGCTTTGCGCCAAAGTCTTTCTTATGCTGCCGCAGTTCAGTCAACGCCTCAGGATTGGCACATCGAATTCAGTGTCAACGACCAGCCCATCTCAGCAGACACCACCATCTACCGCGTTGTGCACTTCAATCAAGCACAAGCTTCAGACGTTTCCCAGCGAACAGTGTGGAACGCCGTTCATACCATCAAGTTCAAGCGCGTAGCCGGTCCGCCACCAGGCGAGGCGTCTGCCCAGACTCCTCCGCCAGAGACAAAGTCTGGAGGGCAAGCTATGCCTGCATCGTTGGACAACCATCCCATAACCTCGGGCATCCTTCGATTGCTCAATCTCTTACACGGCCTGAACTCCCACCTTGACGATGTTCTTTCCGAGAACAAGGAGCAGATCAAGCTAAACGCCGAGCCGCTTTCACAGTTCGTGAACACGAAGCTCACGGCAAAGCTGAACCGTCAACTCGAGGAGCCGTTGATTGTAGCAAGTAACTGCCTGCCAAGCTGGAGCGAAGATCTCGCTCGCTTCTATCCTTTCCTATTCCCCTTCGAGTCGCGCCATCTCTTTGTCCAGTCGACATCCTTCGGGTACTCGCGTTGCATGACGCGCTGGCAGAATACTCAAGCCAACGACAACCGGAACGATCGTCATCGCGACGAGCGGCCGTTCCTTGGTAGACTGCAGCGACAGAAAGTCAGGATATCTCGGTCCAGGATATTAGAGTCTGCGATGAAAGTCATGCAATTGTATGGTCACTCACCCAGCGTCTTGGAAGTGGAGTACTTTGAAGAAGTGGGAACAGGTCTCGGCCCTACCCTTGAGTTCTACTCCACTGTCTCCCGCGAATTCTCGAAGAAGAAGCTCAAGATTTGGCGGGAGAACGACTCAGAGGGACAGGACGAATATGCTTTCGGAAAGCGAGGTCTTTTCCCGGCACCCATGAGCGCGCAGCAGGCGACTTCAGAAGACGGCGAGAAGAAGCTCGAGATGTTCAAGGTTCTCGGCAAGTTCGTCGCGCGGTCCATGCTGGACTCGCGCATCATCGATGTGTCGTTCAACCCAACAATGTTCCGTCTCAGTGACAGCAGCAGCACGGTCATCACGCCTTCGCTTGCAACCGTTAAGACCGTCGATGAAGATCTTGCCAAGTCGCTGAGGCTGCTGAAGAGGTTCGCGGATGCTAAGAAGCAGATCGATCAGGACCAGAATAAGACTTTCGCGCAGCGGACCGAAGCCGCGCAAAGCATTCGTTTCCAGGATTGCGCTGTCGAGGATCTGGCGCTCGACTTCACGTTGCCAGGCTATCCCGCCATCGAGCTGATTGAGAACGGGGCTCATACCGCAGTCACTATCGACAACGTCGGCCTGTATGTCGAGAAAGTACTCGATTTTACGTTGGGCTCTGGTGTGAAGCACCAAGTCGACGCATTCAGCGCTGGCTTCTCAGAAGTATTCCCCTACTCGGCGTTGCGAGCGTTCACACCGGATGAGCTCGTTATGCTGTTCGGCAGGAATGACGAGGATTGGTCACTCGAGAGCAAGTCTCTCTCACTTTCGCGTAAGAGCCAAGCTAACCAACCAACAGCTCTTATGGACTCTATCAAGGCCGATCATGGCTACAATCTGGACAGTAAGAGCGTCCGCAACTTGCTCACCACCATGAGCCAATACACGCCGGAAGAGCGTCGAGACTTCCTACAGTTTATTACTGGTAGCCCGAAGCTCCCTATTGGAGGTAAGCATCACTCTGCCTTGTGGTATGAATGAGCACTAACAACGTCACAGGCTTCAAGAGCCTCACACCCATGTTCACGGTCGTCTGCAAGCCAGCGGACCCACCATACACATCCGACGACTACCTTCCATCAGTCATGACGTGCGTCAATTACCTCAAAATGCCGGATTACAGCACTTTGGATGTGCTGCGCGAGAAGCTGAATGTTGCGGTGAAGGAGGGCCAGGGTGCCTTCCATCTTTCATAGACAGCTCACTGCGTGGGTTTTTCAAGGTGTATAGGTTGCACGCTTGCTAGCAAATTTTCTTTGGACATTTCAGGTGCATGGTAACGGCCTTATGACATCACAGAGAGGAGGGGAATCATGCATTGCCGGCAGTTTGGGCGTCTTCTTCCACCAGCGATGCCCGGTTCTTTACTTCGTAGTTTGTAGGAGAGAGGTAGAATCGCAAGATATCTATACCATACTGTGAGTCTTTTTCCAGGAGCTTGTACAACACAGTGATACGATGTAGTAGACGTATTGCAGTGTCTTCGTAAAGATGGGTGCTGGTAGAGCTTCCCCGTGTGAACCACAAGGCTTGTCGGCTCCATTCGTGCTGTGACAAAGTGTGCTGCGGTAGAGCGTGCTCTGTCGAGTGTCAAAGCGCTGGACGCAGCGCTGTTGATGGACTCCTGGTCTCGAATGTTAAGGAGGGCCCGGCGCAATGCTGACACCCTGCACGTGCAGGATTCCATCGAGTCGCGAGATTGCCGGCAAACAGGTAGTGAGCAGCGAAGAAACAAACAAGGGAGTCTTTCATGGATTCCAGGCGAGAGAAGGGCATACTTGACTTTCCTGCTTCTCCAATTCAGGTCCATCACAGCCCAAAATTCGCTGATCAGCCTCGCAGAAGTGTGGCGCAGAGGTGATCGCAGCCGCCGAGTGACGACGACGCCCCACTCAAAGAGCTCCAACCAAGCCTCCTACATACGACACCTCCGGACTCTCACCTTTGACCTCAAGCACGCCGACCGGTCGCGACGTCCTCATCACACGCAGCGCAAATAACTCGCTGCCACTTGGAGTCAGCTGCAATTTCTCCCAAACGCCCGCGACTGAGCATCACCATCTTGCAATCGATTAGGCATCAGAAATCATGTTCCGCGCGCAGGGGAACATTTTCGACGACGTGGTCGTCAAAGCCACAGACGAGAACCTGACGAGCGAGAACTGGGAGTACATACTGGTACGCCAGATACTGCTCGCTCCAACTGCTCGCGCTGCCAGCCTCTGGAGCTCCGTGCTTCGGGCTGCAGCGTGACGTCTGCTGGGCATGGCCACATGATCAGACACATACTGACAACAATTCGCAGGACGTATGCGACAAAGTCGGCTCGTCGGATACGGGCGCACAACAAGTCGTCCAGGCTATGATTCGAAGGCTGGCCCACCGCAATGCGAACGTCCAGCTCTACACCCTCGAGCTCGCCAATGCCCTCAGCCAGAACTGCGGCATCAAGATGCACAAGGAGCTAGCATCACGAAGTTTCACAGAGGCGCTGCTGAGGCTTGCCAATGACAGGAACACACATCAGCAGGTCAAGGCCAAGATCCTCGAGCGCATGAGCGAGTGGTCTGACATGTTCTCGCGCGACCCAGACCTTGGAATAATGCAGGGTGCCTACACCAAGCTGAAGTCGCAGAGTACGTCTCCCGGCCAAGGGTTGAGAGTAGCGAGACTAACAATGGCAGACCCCAACCTTCGAGCGCCATCGAAACCGCAAAAGACGCAGATCTCCGATTCTGAACGCCAGAAAGAGGAAGAGGAACTGCAGATGGCTTTGGCCATGTCGATACGAGAGTCAAAGGGCGCCACCCCGGCAACCGCGAAGTCCAACGCTCCTCAAGATGCAAGCGCTGGTGCTAGCTCCAGCTCACAACCTGCACAGCCTCAGGCGCCGGCACCTCAGGGAACGACTGCGGCAACAGTCTCACGGGTACGCGCGCTGTACGATTTCCAGCCCTCCGAACCTGGCGAGCTGCAGTTCAAAAAGGGCGACATCATCGCGGTGCTCGAATCTGTATACAAGGACTGGTGGAAGGGATCGCTACGTGGACAGACCGGCATCTTTCCTCTCAACTACGTCGAGAAGCTGCAAGATCCTACGAGAGAGGAGCTAGAAAGAGAGGCGCAGATGGAGGCCGAGGTCTTTGCGCAGATCCGCAACGTTGAGAAGCTGCTTGCGCTGCTTAGCACAAGCTCACAAGGAGGTGCTGACATCCGTGAGAACGAAGAGATCACGGAGCTCTACCACTCGACGCTGGCTATAAGACCGAAGTTAATTGAGCTCATTGGCAAGTACTCACAGAAAAAGGGTATGTTTTGCGGAGCGCATAGCTTCGACAACTACTGACAGGCTCCAGACGACTTCACACAACTCAACGAGAAGTTCATCAAGGGTCGCCGCGACTACGAATCTCTCCTCGAAGCTTCAATGACACAGGCTGCACAACCATCATACAGTGGCCGTCCCGGGTACGGCGCATACACCGCACCTCCACCGTCACAGTACGCTGCATATCCACCCAGCTCAGCAACACCGCAAGATCCCAATCGCTTCTACGGCGCCGGGGTACCACCACAGCAAGGGCAGTCGCAATATCCTCCAGCCAGCTCGAATGCACAAGGTGCACCATACCCGCCAGCAGGCTCAAACCCCGCCTTCTTCATGGTTCCACCCGCCGAGCAGCGCCAGCAACAAACCCCAGCACCTCAGGGCCCACCATCAAATACCTACAACGACCCATCACTGAACCGCGTCCCCGTCGGCCGTCCCCAAAGCTTCGCGCCCCAAGAGCTCTCAACAGGGCACTACGACTCACCCGTCGACAACCGCGCATCTTTCCATGGCGCACCGCCCGGCGCACCGCCCGGCGCACCCATAGGTCAGGATTATCCTGCATACCCACCACAACAGCAGACGCAGCCGCCGGGCTACCCGCCACAAGCCCAGGCCTCAGCGCCTCCGCAGAATCCTTACGAGCACATCACGTCCCCGCCGCCGCAGCAACACGAACAAGCACCATCGGACTCGTACGCCCAAGCACCGCAGCAGAATCAGTACGGATACCCGCCCCAGCAAGCACCGAGTCAGCCGGGATACGCACCGCCTGCGCCGCCGGGTGCAACGAGCAGTCCCGCGCCGCAGCAGACGTATCTGCCGTATCGACCGAGTGGGCAAGCGCCGCCGGCTGCGGGGGGAGACGAGGGTTTCTATCGTTAGCCGCTAATTGAGTGGATGAGAAGCTGGAAGAAAGAAGGGAGGGGTTAAATATCACAGCATAAACGCGAGTGATGGCATGAATGAAAATATGAGCATCTAAACCCCGTGTGTGCAAGTCATCGATTGCGCTTGGAAAATCCTCATTGTGGCCCGCGGATAGGGATGATGCTGTTTATAAAACATTATTGCTGATCGAATGAGACGCGAGAGATCCACCCTCGCCATCGCATGGGCGTGAGAAGTGTGTCAGTTTCGTCCTGCATTTGCGAACTTACTGATGCCTCGCTCTGGGTGCAGATCAAAATTGTTTCATTTATCCTGTGAATATGCGTAAGCAGTCGTGAGGTTGCAGGTGCAAGTGGCATCGGAGACGCAGGTACTGACCACGATAAACGGGCAGTGTAGGAAGTACGCGACAATCCGCACCGGTGGATTCCTCAAATCCAGCTGAGACCTCAAGACCGTAAATCGTGTACATGCACGCGCCACAGCGAGGATCTGCGCATAGATCTCAATGCCAGTCCCGATGCCGTAGATGTCGTTGGTGCCTTCAAAGCCGCATTGTGGGTCGATGGTGGAGTGAGGAAAGATGGCCGATGACTGCGCGAGTGTAGAGGTCAGGGCCTGAGAGGGAAGGATGTACGTGCCTGCAGAGGCGACAACGAGAATCAACGCTGAGGCAAACGACAAGACGGTAGAAATCGGTGCTAGGACTAATGTACATAGTGCCCGTATATACTCGCGCGATTGCTGTAGGCATCGATGGTGCAACGCTGCGCCGCATCCTGCGTGAGGTTGCTGGCCCGAAATCGCTGTAAGCGTCCGGCTGCGCGTATCAGGACCCTCAGGCCTGTCGACGCCACAGCATGCAGGCGCGTATTCGAATGCACGTCTTGAGGCACCCCGAATGAGACCCCTCTACAAATGCAAAGTGGTTCCCGGGTAGCCAGAACGAAGGTTTCAAGTACGAAATAGGGCACAAGAACAGAAAGAACAGACGCCTGTATGGCGAGGGCATGGATCAATGCTAAAAAAAAACAGCTTGCTTGCCGTAGCTGTGCTAATGTCCTGCCCTTGTGGGCTGCTTCAATTTTGCATCCAGATTAACCCCATTCAAGCGTATCAAAAAAATCCATCTGTCCATAGAAGTGTGTGCTCGCTCGAGGATAGCAAAAAGATAGTTCGTATCGTCGTAATTGTGCGGTTGGAAAGGTTTACATGACAGTGCATGGAATGATGCAGCATGAGCAGTCGTCGGTCGAGAGGCAGCTGCACTTGCCAGGCTGAGGCTTGACGATAGAGCCGGCGGAGGAGGAGATTGAGGAGGCAGGCATCTTCAAAGCTGAAAATAGTAGTTTCTGCTCTTCTACTGTTATGACAAGTGTTTGACGTAGGTTCTTCGAGGGTCGAAGGTGGATGTCGTGTGGAAAGCTGTAGTCGGGTATGAGAACAGAGGTGGTGCTGCATGTCAGGGTTAGCCGTTTCAACAACGTCATGTTTTGGGACATTGACATACCTATCGTACTTGGAGTGAAGAGGGGATGTAGCAGAGGCGAGTTCGAGAAGACGATGTAGACGCTATCTTCAGGGGAGTGAATGATTTATGATTGCGTAGGGTCCAACTATAGCCCTGGTGGTGCCAGAGAGCGCTAAACCTTTCGCAGCTTAGTGCGAGCTGCGGATGACGTCTCCCGTTGAGGCGGTGCAGACGGTGCGAGATCGTGGCGCAGACGCCGCAACTTCGGCAACATTTGTGTGCACGGGTTAAGGTGAGAGTGTTTATCTTTATCAAAGCCTAGTGATCTCACTACACAGCAATAGCCTCTATTATCCAATCACGGATCCTCGACCATCACATGCATCATACATCCCTCCAGCTAGGCTCCTTCTTCTCGGCCCAGGGTGTTGCGACGGCTGCATGTTCGATCAGTACATGTTTTATCTTACGTCTAAAATCCACGTACCGTTGCTGTCTCCAAAGGGATCATCATCATCCGGCTCGCTATCTGGATCAGCTCGCTGTTTGCCCGCCGCGGGGACGGGAATAGGAGCAGGAGGCATAGGAATGCTCATTGGCCTAGGTGGCTTCGCAGGAGGTGCCTCTTCCTGCATCTTCAAGCTGGCCAGCTTTGCTTGAGCAATGCCCGAATCGTCCTCGCTATCACTGTCATCGTCGTCAATGCTCTTGTCCATGATCTCAAAAGCCATGAGCGCCTTTACGAGCTCATCATTAGCGTTGAGCAGACCACCGATGTACTGCTCAGACTCGACAAGGTGAATGTAGCGTAAAACCTGACGGCGGTGCTGCTTGCAGGTCTCGAAACGGTTCATCACCTCCGGGTTGTCGCTGACGCGCTGCTGCTCTCGGTTGATTAGCTGCAGCCCGTTCAAAAGATTCGCGCTGGCAACATTGGCTGATGCCATCGTCTCCAGCATCTGGCCCTTTTCCCTCTCCAGGTTGAACTTCTGCCCCTTTGGAGTCTTTTTGTCTTTCTTGCTCCTACTGAAGAGCGAAGACCCACCAGAGGATGTAGAACCTAACGCTACTGGTCTGCTTGACGAGGAGGACACATGCGGAGGATCAGGGCGTCGCGGCTGGGGCGTCGGTGGTGGTGAGTGCTCTTCGCGCTCACGGGCTGCTTCAGCATCTTGCTCGCGAATGATTCGAGATTGCTGCGGCTGAGGTCGACTTTTGCGGGGCAGCTCCTTGTGCAAGGCAGCGATGCGCTCGAGGCCGGGTGTTCCCTTGTACGCGACAGCCCACTGCCTGAAGAGGATATTTACTCGTTTGCGAACGTCCACATCGGCTGTTTCATCGCGGGCCAATATCCTAAGACGCTCTAGTAGAGGCTCATCTGCAAAAGCTTTCTGGAACCTTGACCCTGCATTCTGGATCAAAGCGTCCAGTATCACCAATGCGCGGATTTGACGATGCGCATCTCCATACTTTCTACATCCTTTGTCAGTGTCGGGTTCGAGACCGCCTCGCGTGACCTACAGCTTCTTTCGCAAAGCCCGTGCTGCTTCAGTAGGGCCAGTGGACTGGATGCGGATGACTTCGATAAGGTCGACGACACCGCCAATGTCCTGAATCGATCAGTGAACGCATCGCTAATGTCGGATGCGATTTGCTCACATTCTCTTCGTATTGTTCGCTGGTCAACCGATCTATCTGGACCGTGACGGCCGAGAAAGGTTTCGCCTATCATCAATCCAAGACTTTAGTACTTTGCGGCAGTGTTTGAAGAAACAGAGTGGACAAGGATTCTCGAAGATTGGAAGATCGGCGTAGGCGCCGGGCGTTTTGTGATGATGCAGTGATTTGCGAGTACGTTTGTCTCTGGGAAGCTCCCAGCTGATGACGCTTGTGCGATCTGACGGCGAAGCTCGAAAGTCGCAATACACGAACGAGTCGATGGAGGTCACGCGACAGAGCGCCTTTCCATGCAGAAGTGGCTCGCATTCAAAGCTCAAGCAAACAGAGTCCATGGGAAGAAGAGTAACGGTGGAAGGTAGAAGGTTTGAGGGCACGAAAGAAACCCTGGGTGCTTATGAAACACAGGCGCCTAAAGTGATATCTTATAGAAGTACAAAGGTGAAGCTTGACTTACCGGCATATCGAAAGGTCACCTAGGTAAGGCTCTGCCTGCCGACTCCAACTATATTTGGGCACCAGGGGTATACGTTAACCGTCTGGAACGGACAGTGATGTTTCGTTCGGCCAGAAGAGGATGTCTGGTGGGGAAGTACACGACTGGCGCTCAAATGTTTGATTCAGAACCAGTACTGAGGATGGTCGTTGGGAGCCGGTGTTACAGAAGTCGGAAATAGCAATAGCGCTGGCGCAAGACCGAAGTTTCTGGGGGTATCAACACAAATGACGGAAGACTGAGGACCGCAGTTGATGGTGTGGGAACAATGCTCGTATGCTGATTGCATGCAGCCTGTCGAGTGATGCAGTGAATGGAGCTGCCTTGACATGGAGCTCCGGAGTCCGGGATGCCCCGCGCTAGTGGTGGGGGCAATTGGGCTGAGCACAGCCTCACGCTTCGGGTACACGCTCCTTCGCCCTCACATGATCTGCACTCCATTGTCCGCAACCTCGACGTGTGATTTACCTGTCGAAGGCGTGAACACGGCAGACGTGTTGTACCAAGGCCGGGACATGGAGGGTATGAGGGAAGCTGCTGATGCTGCGTGAGGAACCCGAACCACGCGTCACTCATCAATCTCCAACATCCATCGCTCCTACCGTGACTGCCCACTAACCCTGAGTGTACAGGAGTTATGCGCATATCCCATCATCGCCAGGGTTCACCGCTATTAATCAATGCTCATCGCAACAAAGCTCTCCACCTTGCGCTTCTTCAATCTCACAAATAGCGAATCGACGCAGGAACGCAACCGTAGCGTCGTACCTCGGACTTGATGATTCAGGAGAACCTGCACACCTCGTGAAGTATGCTCCAACACCAGACGGCCAATCTCCACAACCGCAGCCCATGCGCAAGCGCAGATCACCGCGCAATGGCGAGAAAGCAGCATCAAGGAAGAATACGATCACGAGTAATGGGGCAGCGTTGAGTCAAAGACGCACATCTGAGACTCTGCGTATCACCAAGTTCCCTATGCCCTATGCTACTTACAAAATGGACTGGTCTACTGAGGAACATCTGCATACCATTGCGGCGACCACACCATGCGCAGAGCTACGACAAATCGATCATAAAAAAGTCGTTCTACAAGGTGACAGCATGGAGCGTAGCACTACATCCAACTCCAGGACTTCTAGCACATATGCTCCTGCGACTCTTGTCGACAATAATGACGATGATTTTGGTCAACTATGCTTCGACTTCGAAATCAACACCCGCAATGCTGACAGCTCGATTCTCTCGACGCACACCTCGGAGCAACCGAGGCCTTCACAAGCGCAGTTGGATGATGACGATTTTGGTGACGACTTGATGGACGATGATCTACTTGACCTGACGACCGATACGATGGCCGATCCTAGCAGTCCTCAGTTGCATTCAGCTTCTTTTGCCAAATTCGATGCTTCGAACGAATCAGCCCACCAGAGAGAAACGCCTGAAGCACCTGTCACTACTGATGTTTCACTTATTGAAGAGAGCAGCAGCCCAAGTCGTTCATCGAAGAAGTTCGTATCTCCAGTCACGCTTACGAGTCGATTACTTGCAGCAACGGGCGATGAAGCTCATAAACCCATCGTCAGACCACCATTCCCCACTGCGGTACGCGACCGCTCACCCATCATCGGTATGTCATCCAACACGGTGCTGCGAAGTTGTTTTCGTGTTGGCGAGGCGATCAGTCAGAGCTGCCATGCAGCCAAAGCAGGCAATGATATACTGGTAGAGCTGTACGCCAGAGTGCTCAGCTCCGAACGTGACGACCTACAGCAACGATTCACCTTCTGCGATTTATTTCATGCCAAGCCGCCCTATGTCCAAGCAACCTACGCTGCAGCGATCTGGAAAAGTGTTCAGCTGTTCGAATATGACAGCGCGCGTCTGATGCAGCAAGGCCGAATCTGCCGGTGCATAGGTACCATGAAGCGGAATGGCAAGGACTGGGTGATGATGGTGTTGAACATCTGGGAGGCGACCTGGGATGATGTGCAGTGGGTGGAAGGTATTGTGAACTCCTGACATTCTAAGGGTCTCGAAAAGGCGTCAGGGGTGCAGCATCAGGGTGACCCGATCTGCAAACAATGAGTGAGGCATAGGCAGAAAAGCCAAGGAGGACCGATGTGTAATATATGGTTGTAATTAATCGTGAAGAAGTATTAGCGAAGCTGGAAATTGTATCGTATTGTAAAGTGCAGTGGGGCTTCTGCGCGCTCAATGATGCAGCGGTGTTCGTGACATGACCGCGCTTGCCACGTGAGATTGAGTACCCGCCCCGCTTCATCCACCCCGACCATCTCTCAAGGCCCATGGTTCATCATGCAAGACAATTTTGCGAAACGCACAGTCTCCTTGAAGTTTCCGGCTGACATGTTGACGACCAACGACTTTCAATTCCACATCAGCAATCGACACCATGTTGGCTGATAGCATTCGACGCGAGGAAGGCGCGCTGGGTGACTCGCAGCCAATGCAGACACCACGGAAAACCAAAGCGCGTTCCCTCTCTGACAGCGCACCGAAACTGGAACCCTCGCCCAGGTTCCGCGAGTCAACCAGGACATCCAAGGATGATCACACCGTTGTCGCCAGCCCCAGTACTCCACGGCGTCCTGACTTTCTCGCGAGAGGCCTTTCACTGCAGATGCCCTCGCGGGAGGTGCCCATGCCCAGTCCTGCGCACTTCGCAGCGCGTGTACCTCTGTCGCCGCAATTAGACTCCCATAACACATACGCTTCGCCCGCGTCACTGCTTCCCCGGCGCTCACGAGGTGCTGAGTTCTCGAGGGCTTGCACCAACCTCCACCACTCGACGCTGCCTAACCAGTCCTCGCCTGACTCCTCGCCCACGATCACGCAGAAAGGGATCAAAATCCCCTCGAGAAAGCCTCGCGCCAACTCGATGATCATGGGGGACTCACCCAACGTTGGCGCATGGAGCAATGGCGGTAGAACCGCGCCCTCGAGCTCCGTAGGCAGCTTCAATATGCTGGGTTCAGAGGACTCAAGCAGCTCTTCTGACGATCTTGATCCAATGGACCCTGACGACACCGACGACCCCATGATCATGACCCCGCACGCTGCGAAGACAAACAACGTATTCGGCGGGGCTGCGAATGTCAACAACAGCCCATTCGCGAACATGTTCTCGCCGGGTGGGGTGCCCAACTTCATGACCATCCATAGGGCAAGACTGCGCAAAGGCAGAAGCCGGAAAAGCTCAAGCTCAGCAAGCGGCCACAGCTCTCTGGCAAGTCCCGGCGGTCCTGCTTCGCCACCTAACAGTAAAGGTGAAGGCTACTTTTCGAGAGAAGCCCTGCTGCGCAAGGAAAGCTCTCGTCGCGAGAGTCTCTCGATCTTCACCAACGACCTCCACATATCGTCTGGTAACGATAGTGGGGACGAAGCCAGCACAATGCCTCAAACGCCTGGTGTAATCCGCAGGGCGGTGACACGGAGGGGCAATCTTTTGGTGAGTGACCCACTAGCATGGCGTAGACCGTATGCTGACAAGCTGTAGCCGAAGTCTAGACAGTTCGGTCGTATCAAGGCCGAGCTCTTTGACGAATCGGCACCGGTGGATAGCGAGACACGGCGCGAAGCTGAGATCATTCGACAAGTCAGGGAAAGCGACACCGATCTGGAGCGTCCGTCGATGACTGCTCAGTCTTCGCCCAGTCTCTTGCCTACTGTGCCTGGCTTGGACGGTCCATTGGAGGGCGTGCCTGAGGAAGAGAGCGAAAGCAATATGAGCCTGGATAGTACGACAATTAAGGGATTGTTCGGCACATTCGGCTCGCTGAATACAGGGCGCAACTCCGTAGGCACAGACTTCTGGAATCAACGACTGGCACAGACACCACCACCGTCGTCGTACAGCCGAGCAGAGTCCTCGACGGCCATGAGCGAGGATATGAACATGGATTCACCTATAGTCTCAGCAAACAACGGCAACGGTATGCCAGCGCCAGATCAAAGTGTCAATCTGAACTGGACATCTCGAGCCTCTACACCACAATTCATGAACCCTCCTACCGCTGCAGACGGACTGAAGAAGTCGAACAAGCGCAGGCGTGATGACGACTTCGATGAACATTCGCTCAAACGGCGAGCAGTGTCACCTGGTCTGAGCGTGCACAACAGTCCTGTCATCTCTCAATCTCCGAGTCAGCGAGATGGCAGTCTGTGGGGCACAACAACGAAGGCGAGCCGAGAGACATCGATCAGTGGTCAATCAAATGGCGAGAGATCAAACAGTGGGGGAAGCATGAGCATGACACCTACCTTGGGTCCCAAACGTGTCGGTCTGCAGGGCATGACGGACACCAGCGATGGCCTGATGAAAATGAGCATCGAGTGAACAGGTGCTGGACGACTTTGTTACTACTTGTAAACATCCTTCCTTGGGCATCATGGGTTCAGCGCGGCGTTGGGGCGGAATACTGGTATTGCACTTGATGGATTTCCCAAGTAGCGACAAATTCGAATGACGAATACAACTCTGCCTTATGTTACGGTACCAACAACCAAGCCTCTGATCATGAACGAGCATTGTGATAGAACATACATGTGAAGTCATCCACGCGGTACGTGCTCCTGCTGTCGGACCCCTCGATCGCCAACTTGGCTTCCTCCGCATCACCCCCGAGAACCCGCAAACAATCCCATTGCACGCCAACAACACGTCGACAAGTGCTCTCAATTACCGCCAAAGCAACAAGATGTCGACAGCAGCAGCGCTTGGCTCTTTCGTGGAGTCCGCACCTCCTGGTGAGGTACGCTCTCCTCTGCGCCCCACCTCCGCACAACGACTAACACGGCGCAGCTTGCGGATGTGACCAAGGCAATCAAGTCGGTGCTTGAGAACCAAGACGTCGAGACCGATCTTACACCAGCATATGAGAAGTACAATGAGGAGCAGTTCACCACCACGAAGCTTCCCGGAGGCAGCACCGAGATCCTGGTCAGCCCTTACAACTCGCTTGGCGACGGGCGATACTACGATGTCGAGACACAAAGCTCCTTCGACTTCGACCACGCGACACAGAAGGCGAGTGCGGTACAGAGCTACGTAGCAGAGAGCCAGCACGAGGACCTTGTGTAAGGAGCATATGGTGCGCCGGGCCATGCAACAACAGCGCTGACAATCTGCAGTAAGAGCCTCGTCAAGGGCCTCGGAACCCACACGACCGAGCACTACCCCAAGTCCTCATATGGTGTCTTCCCCATCGAAGACGACTCGAAGCTCGCCCTCGTGTCCGTCGCAAACAAGTACTCACCCACAAACTACTGGAACGGACGCTGGCGCTCGTCCTACTTCTACAGCCCCTCCTCCGGCGGCCTGACTGGCACGATCAAAGTCGACGTACACTACTACGAGGACGGTAATGTGCGGTTGCTCACGAACAAAGCTGTCAATCTCAACATCAGCGCGGGCGCAAGTGCGAGTGAGATCGTCAGGCAGATCGCGACAGCCGAGAAGAAGTACCAGGAGGATCTGAACAAGGCTTTTGGTAGCCTGAGCGAGGGTGCTTTCAAGAGCTTGAGGAGACAGCTGCCGATCACGAGGCAGAAGATTGAGTGGGAGAAGATCAGCGGGTACAGGCTGGGTCAGGACATTGGCGGTGGTGCCAGGCGATGAGAAAGAGCAAGTAACGTTGGGCTGATCGGCAGGGCGGGAACGATGCTATCTCACGATGGACTGCATGCGACCAGATTTGTAGAGGACAGAGCAATCAACACGCATACGCGATTGTGCTGCATGAGGTTGGCCCTAACCTCCTCACGCGTCACGTTCGATTTACAGCATACGAGCGTCTTTGCTACTGTCACGACTCCCCCGAGTCTTCGATGACTTAACAGATCCGTTCGCAGATATCGTATACTCTAAGCAGCAAGGCGTTTCTTCTTCTGCGGCCAGAGCTTTGCGACTTCTACAACGCGCCAGCTCTTCCGCTCTTTTTATTTTATTTTACATATTATGCCAAGCTCGATGTCACGCCACGTAACCACCGTGATTCCTTCGCTGTTGCAGTCCTCCTCCCCTGCTCCTTTCGCTATATATTCCATGTTCACTGCACTGGTGGCCTCCAGGGTTTACACTCCTGGAACCGAGAACACCAATCGACATTCCTCCAGCGATTTGATTGTAAGAACATACTGGAAAACGACGAGGGCGCCTCATTTGTTCCCGAGTAGCTCCGTGTAGTATCATATTGATATTTAAAAGTCAGTACATACTTGCTTCGAATCCAACAAGACCCTGCATGGCTTCTCCACACCGGGCATCTTGCTGATCAAATCCACTCCCACCGCTATGACTACTGCAGGGCTCTTCCGCTCATCAAACGTCACCGTGTAATGAGCGTCTGTCATCGCCAATCGCGCGATGAGCGACGGAAATCTACAGAACACGCTCGAGCGTGCAAGAAAGTGTGGCTGTAGAACGTTCCATGCGGGTGTGCGAATCAGGCGCCATACCGCTCCCGCGAGGCGACCCACATTTCACCGCCCCGAGGGACGGACACCTTTACTGCAGCTCTCCCCAGTCTCTCACCTGTCAGTCAACGTTGCGGAGCCTGTCTGCCTGCAATTGAGTTTTGTTGTTTGTAGGTACCTACCCCCCAGTATTACCAGAAGGTTTGAAGCTACGACAGTTGCCTTGGTCGCTGCGCTTACTCTGCTCGCTATGCAATTGTCTATTGGCTGTCTTTAGCAACAACCCATTGGATCCTTGGTTCGCCTGATCCTTCACCACCGTGTGAAACTCTCACCAAATTTTCTCCTATTCGGGTCTTGGTCGGTTTTCACTCCCTTGCTAACGCAATATTCACAGACCCTCTCCACCCCGACACTCGATTCCCCCTACCTCAACAGTGGCTTCGCACAGCTAAGCTACTCCGCCCACCGTCCACGCAATACACCCTTTGGTCAACTCGAAACGGTTTATTCTAAAACATGGCATCCGACGCAGTTGCTAGCTCTGCCACCGAGGGCCTGACCCCGGCGCAGCAGCTGATGGAACAGCACGCCAGCAACGATCACCACGTCACCGTCGAGGACGTTGTTGACGAGGAGGACGTTGCCCACCCTCCCCCTTCGGCGCCCAAGGCCGAGACTCCCCTCAGCGACAAGGCTGCCGGCAAGCAGAAGGCCGAGGAGGCTGCCCCGGCGACCAAGAAGCCCGCCCTCAACACGCAGTCTGAAGAGGCCTTCCCAGCTCTTGGCCCCGTCAAGCCGCGTGGTCAAGCTCCTGTCCCTACCTGGGGCAAGAAGCCCGCCGCCGTCTCCAGTGCCAATGGCAGCAATGGCAACTCTGGTGCCGCGACTCCCTCTGGCCCTGCTATCCGTGGTCCCGCTGTCGCCTCCATGAACCTGCCCGGCAAGCACACCGAGCGCATCTCCTTCTCCATCTCGCAATTGATGCCGCGTGCTCAGCTCAAGAAGCCTGTCAGCGAGATCATCCGCGACATCAACAAGCGCTCTAAGGCCAGGCTCGAGCAGAAGACTGGAACCCACGGCCAGATCATCTTCGAGGCTACCGGCCCCGTCGACGCCGTAAGGGAGTCTCTAAAGGAGATTGCCAACGAGGTTGGAAGTAAGGTATGTGATATTGGATATAGTGTAGTTTTGTGGAACACTGTTAACAAGCTGCAGCAATCTGTCGACGTTCCCGTCCCTGCATCCGTCCGCGCCCACATCATCGGCCGTCAAGGATCCAAGATCCAGGAAATCAGCAAGCGCACCGGCGCCCGCATCCAGGTCCCCAAGGCGGAGGCCGGTGAGGATGAGGACACCGTTGTCAACGTTCACATCGAGGGCAATGCTCTCACCGCCGAGATGGCCCGCCGCGAAATCGACGCTATCGTCAACGAGCGCACATCGACCGTGAACCTTCGTCTGAAGGACGTCCCCGCAGAGTTCTACGCCTTCCTCGCTGGTCCTCAGAACAAGCACGTTGAGAACCTGACGCGCGGCAAGGACATCGACATCAAGATCCCCGAGTACTACACGTGGCAGACTCAGGCGCCTCCTCAGAACGCCCGCAACCAGCCCGGCAACTTTGTGCCCCAGGCCAACTTTCCCATCCAGATCTCTGGAGAACGTGTCGCTGCCCAGCAGGCACAGGCTGAGCTTGAGCGCCGTGTCCAGCAGCTTCGCCAGCGCTTGGCTGTTGACCAGCGCTCCGTTGACAAGGGCCGACACCAGTTCCTTGTTGGCGACCGGGGCAGCTCTCTTCATGACTTCTTGGAGGAGACTGGCTGCACTCTGGTCCTGCCTCCGAACGCGGAAGACGATGACTATGTCTACGTTGTCGGGCCTCCTGACAGGATTGAACAGGGTCTCGAGAAGCTCGACGACCTCTCTGCTGCCATGCACATGTCTGGTGCTGACCCGCTTCGTGAACACCGTGGCCCCAAGGCTGCTGAACACGCTTACAACCTCACTCGCTACCTGCGCCAGCGTCAGGCTCTTGCTGAGCTCGAGCGCCAGCACGAGGCCAGCATTGTTGCGCCCAAGAACCGCAATAGCGGAACCAACTACGAGATCTACGCCCGCGATGGCAAGAACAGCATGAAGGCCAAGAACGACGTCATGAGCATCTTTGGTGCTCACCCTCCTAGCAGGTTTTCTACTCACCAGGTCGACCCCTTCTACCACGACTTCCTGCGTCAGAAGGCCGCTCCTCAGATTCGTCAGGATACTGGTGTACACATTGTCTTCCCTGATGAGGAGGAGGAGTCACCCGAGCTCATCTTCGTGTACGAGAGCCACGATCCGTATGAGCAGTACTCCATCCCACGTGGCAAGCCCCAGAATGACGAGATCAACGCCTACAAGAAGGCACTCCAGGAGGCCGCGGAACTCATCAACCGCCTTACCAAGAACCAACCCTCGATCACACTTCGTGACCTCGAGGCCAGCCAGAAGTTCCACAAGAAGATTGAGCAGTTCGTCCGGGAAGAGCAGGAGGGCCTCGCTCAGGACCAGGCTCCTGTTCAGGTTCTGCTTGGCGGACGCCGACCTGACGCTGGTAACCGCTCGAAGGACAGCTTCGCTATCCGTGGACCTTCCAACGCTGTTGACGACTTGAACGCCAAGATACTGGCGTTCCTTGAGCAGGCTGAGAAGGACGAGCTCGAGCGTGGCCACATTACCACCTTCGACTACCCCCAGAAATACGCCAGCCACCTTGTTGGTAAGGGCGGTGAAAATATCCAGAAGCTGCGCCAGAAGTTCGATGTTGATGTTCAGATTGACGACGGCAAGGTCACACTGAAAGGTCCTTCGCACAAAGCCGAGGCCTGCAAGAAGGAGATCCTTAGCCAGGCTAAGAAGCTCGAGGATGAGGCGACCCACATTCTCAAGATCAACCCGAACTACCACCGCGAACTCATCGGCGCTGGAGGCAAGCAGGTTGAGCGTCTGCAGACACGCTACGGCGTCCGTGTCAACTTCCCCAAGAGGGCGAAGAATGATGATGGCGATGATGCTGCGTCTAAGCAGAACGTCAAGGGTGGCCAGAAGGCCGACGAGGTCACCGTCCGTGGACCCAAGAAGGGTGCTGATGAGGCTCGTGACGAGCTCCTCAGCCTTCTCCAGTACATTGTCGACAACTCCAACACCGACACCATCTCTGTCGCTGTCAACCAGATCCCTCAGTTGATCGGCTCTGGTGGTCGCGAGATGGAGAACCTGCGTCTCACCACCGGTGCTCAGATTGATGTTCCTGGTGCTCGCGAGGGTGCTGACCCCGCTGGCCGTGCCGACATCAAGATCAAGGGTACCAAGCAACAAGTCCAGGAGGCCAAAAAGATTCTCCAGGAACGCGTTAAGGTCTTTGATGACACTGTCACCGAGACAATCGACGTTGACCGCAAGCTCCATCGCAACCTTATCGGTGGTCAGGGTGCCAACATCCGCCAGATCGTCACCTCGGCTGGTGGGCCTGACAACTCTCGCGACCTTGCTCGCATGGTCCGCTTCCCCAAGCAGGACACCGATGGTGACTCCAGCACCATCCGCATTGAGGGCCCCAAGAGCGTCGTCGAGAAGATCGTTGCCGCCATCAAATCCCAGGTTTCGGCTCTCGAGAACCAGGCTACCGAGATCCTCGAAGTCTCTCCCGACAAGCACCGCCTGCTGATCGGTCGCGGAGGTGAGACTCGCCGCTCGCTCGAGTCGCAGTTCAGCGTGCAGCTCGACATCCCCAAGCAGACCACCCAAGGTGCTGCCCGCAGCCAAGTCAAGATCACCGGCGAGCCAGCAGCCGTCGAGAAGGCCAAGTCGCACATTCAGGAGCTCGTCAAGGGCCAGGAAGGCGAGACCATCGAGGTCCCCCGCCACCTGCACCACGTCATCTCCGACAACGGCCAGTTTTTCCGCCGCCTGCGCAACCAGCAGAAGATCACCGTCGACCACGGCAACGCCCAGCCTCCGTCCAAGCCCGCTCAAAGCGAGGCTGGCAAGGCACGCAAGGGTGCCAACGGTGCCCTTCCCCTGATCACCGACGACGCCACAACCGGCGCTGACGAGCACTCTTGGGAACTCATCGACAACAACGCCGTCGAGGAGGGCACCGACACCAGCGCAACGATCCCCTGGATTCTGCGCGGTCCCGCAGAGAACATTCCCAAGGCGCGCCAGCAGCTCGAGGATGCCATCAAGGCCGCGTCCAAGCCCAGCTCCACGGGCTACCTCATTCTGCCGGACCCGCGCAGCTACCGCTTTGTAGTTGGAAGCGGTGGAAGCACGATTAACGGGCTGAGGAAGGAGACCGGGACCAAGATCCAGGTCCCCCGCGATCAGGCAAAGAATGAGGCGATTGAGATCACGGGCTCAAGGGAGGGGTGCGAGAAGGCTAGGGAGCTGATTTTGGACATCATCGCCAAGGGCGGGAACGGTGGCCGTAGGCGCGACGAATAGGCCCTGCGCTTTGGTTGAAGCTGTTTGAGAAGAGAAGAGAACAATCGTCCAGTGGTGATGTCTGCAATGTGATGGTCTTTTGGCATGGGTGGAGCGATTTTCTTTCATGTATGGTTTACGAGTCAACAAAATGTTCGCAGTACGAATAAAAGTTGAACCGATTCCACGTTCCCTCTTAACAGCGCTTGATGTCCTCGCAATTTGCGTGACATAGCTGCGGTCCAATGCGTAGATGGTGCAATGGTCTTTGAAACCGCAAAGAAGTAAGCCCATCTCCACCCCAGAACCCCATCAAAGTCAAACCCCTCGTCCAGCACATCCATCCCCGACATCCATAAAATCTCGGCCCCAGGTTTCCCCCGGCGCAGAATCGAGCCAGATCCAAACACTGTGCAGGCGCATGTCGATGTGCAGCGTGCGCGTGTCTCGGCCGCGGGTCGATGCTGAACGTCTTATCGCCCGCAGCAGCTTGACCATCGACGTCCGCGCCGACACCGCCTCATCGCGTCGAGAGATTGCAGACCGTTAGCACAGATGTATGCTGGCTCCGCGAATCAGGAGCGGACGCTGTGGGCATGGTGTTCGGTGACGGTGTGGCTGGGCTTGACGGAGAAATAACGGCCGTGGGTCAATGTGCGATGGGTGGGCGATGAAGTCATAGGGACTGCGTTAAGCCGAAGGATGGTCTCGCTTGAGGCTCGGTTTTATTCTGCAATGTCTAGGTGTGCGATGAGATGTTGGGGAATCGATGCGCGGCTGGGAGCCTTCAGTAAAGCGCGTCGTGGACGTTGCGGGAGCAATGATCGGTCTGGTGCGATATACGCATAGCGATGGCTCGAAATGGTAAACGTCAAGGCAGAAGCAGGACATGTCTAATCCCCTATTGATCAGCTTTTAACTCTCTAAGGCAACAAAGGCCCTGGGTTTTAGTGTTGAGTATCTGCTACTTCCTGATTGGTCGAGCGCCGACGTCACACCTGCTCCTCAACCCATCAGCTCCAAACCTAAACCACGGCTGCATGCAGCGCAGCATCAACCAGGCCAGCCATGTGCCTGCAGATCACATGGAGACCAGCTTCGTATTCCCGAACAGTGTCTGTCGCAAAAGCAGGTCTGCTTTCAAGTCAAGAGGCTCTCTCACAGGTCGAGATGCCCAGTGACACGCGACAGCACGGCCTGTCACAAGCCAGGACGTTCCAGCACAAGAGCGACAACACAACCAGCAGCCAAACGAATAAGCGGATTTCCGATTGGCTCAAAGCCGTTGATACGCCGTCACACTCACATCTTGACTGGTCGCCTGCGCGCCGCGAAATACCTTATGGTCCCTGCCAGCACCAGTGCCAGCTTTCCCCGCATTTCAAGAGCAACAAGACCCCTCATCAAGGTACCGCTTGGTTGATCGCTCAACGCGTACCGTGACAGCTGTTCCATTTCTCCTGACATCTCTTTCCTGACAGCCTCTTCCGGTGTTTATATCGCAATCGTCTCTGCTGCTTGTCTGCTGGCTTGGTTCAAGTCGTCGATCGAATACCCACAGCCGGTCTAACTGCATCCCACACTCCGTCCCACTTCCGTTGTTAGCGCGGATTGAGCTCAGCATAGCGAGCTGCATAGGTACGCAATACAATACCTCTCAACAAATGCTTTTCTGCGAATTGCGATGCCTGCGGGTAGTATCGGATAAGAGATGGGACGCACCGCACGTGGAAGCGCGACTCGCATCTGAGCACCGAGCCTGCGAGTTGTGCTCCGCAGTATAACGTAGCCGGCTAGCTTCCACGGCCGCGGCCGTTACATACGACCGCGACGACCGCAGCGCCGCACACAGGCTACCGTGAGGCTCTGCCTGGCGCTGTGTTGTACCGGAATCATACCCGGGAGACATTTTTCCTTGGAGCATATCCGGTGTTGGGTGATATATACTGGTGGTTTTCCGTTGTTGAACGACCTGCATCTTGCATTGACCCTACGCTTCACATTTGTTCTGCCCAACGCATATCCTGCACTGCTTATCTGTCCGCGCTCTGTCAATTGCCTATCATTTGTCACTCGCATATTCACGACTGGGTGTTAGTGACCGACAGATCCACTAACAGCATGTCAACAACAGCCTCTCCTGCCCTCAAAATGCCCGCCTCCCGCGCGCTCGAAAACGCAAAGCAAAGCTCCGAAACCATTCTCAAAGACGCCTCGGAAACAATGTCCAAAGCAGCTGAGAACCCGAAGAAGGCGACCGCCGACTTGCTCCACACACCGTTTATGCGTGCAGCGCTGCCGTTCATCAACGGCGGGCTTGCTGGCATGACGGCGACGAGCGTCATCCAGCCCGTTGATATGGTGAAAGTGCGTCTCCAGCTGGCCGGCGAGGGCGTCAAGACAGGACCTAAGCCGACGCCCATCGGTGTCCTCAAGGACATCGTTGCCGCAGGCAAGGTTATGGATCTATACACGGGTCTTAGCGCGGGTCTCCTCCGACAAGCCGTCTACACGACTGCGCGCCTGGGCTTCTTCGACACATTCATGAAGCGCCTAGCTGTCCGGGCAAAAGAAAACGGCACAACAATCGGCTTCAAAGAGCGCGCTGGCGCGGGTCTGACGGCCGGTGGCCTTGCGGCTGTGGTCGGCAACCCTGCGGATCTGGCGCTCATCCGCATGCAATCCGATGGCATGAAGCCTGCCGCGCAGCGGGCAAACTACACATCTGTCGTCGATGCGCTGATGCGCATCTCCAAGAACGAAGGGGTTCTGAGGCTTTGGGCCGGCTGCTACCCGACGGTTGTGCGCGCCATGGCGTTGAACTTCGGGCAGCTTGCGTTCTTCTCTGAGGCGAAGAGCCAGCTGAAGAACACCAGTCTTTCTTCGCGATCGCAGACACTGACGGCGTCGGCCGTCGCCGGCTTCTTCGCTTCCTTCCTCTCCCTGCCATTCGACTTCATGAAGACCAGGCTGCAGAAGCAGACGCGTGCGCCTGATGGTACGCTGCCGTACAAGGGCATGTTCGACTGCTTTAGGAAGGTTGCCAAGGAGGAGGGCCTGCTGAGATTCTACCGCGGGTTTGGAACATACTACGTCCGCATCGCGCCGCATGCGTAAGTTCAATCTGCAGAAGAGTGTGTGGACAACGACTGACACAAAACAGGATGGTGACGCTCATCGTCGCCGACTATCTGGGCTTCATCACCAAGTAGATGAAGCATGGTCTGCCAATGAAATGAAACGAAACAAGAGCGAGATCGAAACGACGAGCCGAGAGAGGAAAGAAGAGAGGGCTGGAGGATATCTGAGGAATGGCCGTACTCATACCCACACACCTGCACGGAGTGCAGACGGATCTACCCTGGCGTCTGGTATTGGTGGATATGTTCTGGGATTTCGCGCTGGGAGCGCTTGTAGTTGCGAAGACGTAACATTAATGCAACGACGTTGAGACCTTTGCAATTAGTATTGTGACGAGGTACCTTGTGATTCGCAAACGTGCTGAGGTCGATACAAGAAGCCACTTTGAATTTTCTTGACTGACTGGGTCTGCGCAAGGCTGCCCCGCGGTCCACCGGAGCGGAGCCTTCGCCGATGTTCGCGCATGTCGAGATGCTTGACTCGACGGGGTATCGTCATGTGACATGGCGACGAGCTAGAAGTCGACGCGTAATGAAACGCGTCGCTTCCCCACCTTCAGCGACCTGTTCTCCGCCCAGCTTCAACACAACATGTCGTCACGCAGTCGCCAGTCGCGTGTTGGAGCCATACCGAGCAACAGTCGCCTCTCGGTCGCTACAGCGCCAGCTCCGACACAGCCAAATGCGCTGCCAGCCTACAAGAAGCCCTCTCATCCTCTTGATGGCGAGGCGCAACGCGCACTGCGGGAGCTGAATGGCCCAACGCTCACAATCATCAAGAAGCACAGCAAAGACGCCATCACCACGATTCGAAGCACAGCCGAAGGCGTCAACGACATGCTGAGCGAGCACCAACGCTACTTTGACGCGCGCAGCAAGAAATGGGACGCAGGCAAGAAGCTGGACGAAAGAGAAGACGAAGAAGCCATCATGGCGGACCTGCAGCAGAAAGTCGACGACGCCACGGCCAAACTCGAGGAAAGCATGCGCGCAGCGATCGACTCCAGCGTTGCCGCCCAGCGCATCGAAGACGCCCTTGAGTGGCTGCGCCAACACGCCCCAAAGCAGATCGAGGAGGAGTACCATAGCCAACGGACGCGGCGCTCAACGCAGCGCCGCCAAACGCAGAACCGCGACGGCAGCGAAGCAGGTTCAGATCAGGAAGAACTCGACGACGGCCCCACGCCCGGTCCGACGCCCCTCGACCGCTCCCAGCTCGCGCTCACGGGCTCTGTCGACATGTTCACCGACCGCATGGCGCGCGAGCAGACGTCGTACACGTCACTCTCGCTCACCGCCCGCTATGCACGCCACAACGAGTACCGCGACTTCAAGCGCGTGGTTCACGACGCGCGGTACGGCGACACGATCCCCCTCGGTCACGAAGACACATGGTTCACTGAGACAGGCGAGCCCGCGCTGGGCGTCACCCAGGCCGTCAACGACGACGAGGACGACCTCGTCATGGACCGTGCGACGGTCAGCACGAAATGCCCGATTACATTCCAGACGCTCAAAGAGCCATGGAGCAGCGCAAAGTGTCCGCACACGTTCGAGAAGAGCGCTATACTGGGCATGATCAGGACGAGCGCGAGCCATTTCGGCCCCGGCCGCGCAAGGAGCGTCGCGTGTCCAATCCCGGGATGCGATCAGGTATGTTGTCACTGCTTGCAGCCGCTCTGTTCGTTCATCGGCGAGATGACCTGTTCGCCTGGGCGCCACCGTGTGCGGCTTGACGTGACTAACGCGCACAGCAACTCTCCGCAGAAGACCTGCACTCCGACCCCATCCTCACACGCAAGATCCGCCGCCTGCTGCAGGCGCAGCTCGACGACGACGACGATGACGACGGTGACGATGACGAAGATGAAGACGAGGAGGAGGAGGAGGAGGAGGAGGAGGAGGTCGAAGCGCCACAGAACTCTTACGCGCACAGCAGCAGTGCTCGAGACGATGCCGCAAGACACGCTCCGATACTCCTCGCGACACAACAGCTCCCGCAGAGCTCGATCATCGAGGACCTGGGCGATCCCAGCGAGGACGAGGACGAGTAGCGTCGCACGCTCAGTGCGCGCAGGAGTGATAAGAGGCGGAGTGTAGAATTGATACCCACGCAACCACATTTGGCTTCGTTCTTCCATGTTCTTTGATTCATGAGTGCCTGACGATATGAGACACCCCCACCCACCCAGCCTGGTGTGGTCTGCACAAGCACTGCAGTCAGTCTTGGGGGACGATGGGATAGGACAGGATGAGATTTATTTGATTTTATCCAATCAGAGGTTTGAATCTAGAGATACTGGTATATTGCATACGCCGTGTACGATGCTGAATCGGAAAGGCATGGATATCGTTGTTGCGAAGAAGGGAATGAGAATACATGACTGGGATAATGGGTGTGCTTGCTTGGTTGCACCGTGGACTTCTACGCTCCAGGCGCCCCCCGCGCGCCAACCCCCCGGTACAGCGCTAGACAATGAACACTGGCCATGGTGTCTACCGGATCGTGCTCGAGATGGTCGTCGTAGTGCGCCCCTCCTTGCCCGCCAGCGGCAGTGCTTTCTCGACGTCGCGCTCCTGCGTGGGCCTTGCGTTCCTGCCCGGCGGCGGCGAGTTGAGACGGATCCCCGTCCGCCGGTTCTGTCGGTTGTTGCTGGTGTCGACTGCTGAGCGGCCTGTCATGCGACGTGAGGCGCGGCGGATGGATTGGCGGACGTCCCACTGGCGCTTCTTCGCGAGCCACCAGAGCGTTGCTGAGGCGACTGGTGCTGGTTAGTTTCATGTCGGGAATTCACGTGGAAGTGAGGGAACGTACTACCGCCGATGACGACGATAACGGCGACTACGATGATAGCGATCAGGCCGCCAGACGATAGCTCGAAAGCACCCTTCGAGGACCCTGCTGCGCCAGCATCGTCTGAACTCTGCGGGTTGTCTGAGCCACCGTTGTATCCTGCTGGAGGGAGCTCGCTGCCAGAATCGGAGTCCTGCGCAAGAGCGAGGAGAGGGAGCAGCAGCGCGACGAAGAGAGCCTGGCTCATGTTGACAAAGGCACGGTGGGTGGTGTGAAGGGAGGGCTGCTGCGGCGAGGAGCAGGTGTTGCGATGGTCGCGTGGAGGTTGCGGGATCAGTTTGATCAGGAGTCAGGACAGCACACTGAGCTGCTCAGGCAGGACGTCCATCTCTATACTCTCGCGCCCGTTGGCAGAAACTATTTCCAGCCCGGGGCCCCGCTGGCGGAGCGTTACTGGCGCCTAGGATGGTATGACTTTCAAGCTCGCAAGGCCCATCTCGCATGCCTATTGCTAACTATAGAGGCGTCGGCGTCGAGATGCCATGTCGTAGAGCAATGGAGGCAGCGGATTGGTGAAGCCGCTGGCGCGTGGGCGCGTATGGTGTTGACGAGAGATTCACCTTGCAGCAGGACAGGGCGCTACTGGCGGTGATTGGCCAGCGGGCTTGTGCAAGCGCCGGTAATTGTGCATGCCGTGCACTGCTCGTGTTTCAGGATCGCCCTCGCAGGAACGACACCACAGCCACATTGTCTTTGACATGTGTGTGGAGGTAGATAAGCAGTCGTGGGCCGCGTTGTAGGCCTCTTCAGTGACGCCGTCTGTCAGGTAAATGTCCGATCAGCAGCACGCTGCACGCTCATGTTTGGTGATACGAGTCGATGCCAGACCTGCCAACTCGTCAAGCGTCACTTGGAACATGAAGGAAGATGTAAGTGTGATTCATCGTGTTGCGATGTAGCTCCCTGTTGCGCTTTAAAAGTTGTAGCGATTGAGATGGATGGCGTTCTGCAGAATCGAGGATGTTGAAAGCAATGCTCATTCTCGAGGCATGCGGTCGCTGCAGAGGGTGTAAAGAGCAGGAATTGTGCCATTCGATTTCAAAGACTCAACAATACATGTCACCGTGCACATGTGCCGGAGCCGAGGTTTAGTTATGGTGCTCTATCAAAGTCAAACCCAACGTAAGCTCATGGGCCTGCCTTGAACCTCAGCATGTTATCTTTCTGGAGAGTGGATGCACGCTCTGATGAGAAGCACGATGGACAATATGGATTCTCACTGTCCAGCTCGTCACAAAGCGCTCGAGAGCTAGGCAGTACTGTTTCAAGCCCTTTAGCAGACGATCGTCGAATATATGGATCGAGATTTAGTTGTGTTGATAGTCTGTGACTGCCTCACCTCGAGGCAGGAAAGAGCGCAGCTGCAAACTCCTCCAGCACGCTTCACCGCTCCCACACCTCGCCGCCCCGCTCCCTTACTGCACAGCTTTTGTTTTGTCTCATCACGTCTGCGTTTCACTTTTTGACTGCGTTGTCGCCTTTATTGCGCTTTCTGTCATTGACGCAGTCCAACAGCCTGCCTTCGCGCTCATCATGGCGGAGCTCTCGATGGGGCAGCAGCCTGTGCCGCCCCGGAAGCCATCACGACTCAGCCAAGTACAGCAGGTGCCTGACAGCGATATCACGTTTTCTGAAACTGAGCTGGGAGTCGCTGAACACCGACTCGAAGCTGAGAAATATGATGATCCTGAAGCCCTGGCTTTTGTAGAAAAATGTTCGATCAAGAAGCTTGCAGTGGCCACAATGGCGTCTTCTCAAGCTTCTACGGTTTCATTGCAGTCGGGATTTCTCCAAAGGCCAGACTCAGCAAAGGTTGCAGATTTTGCTTTCGGCACAGCTCCTCCCAATAAAGCGCCTTTCAAGACAGATGACCCAGCAGTCAAGGCTTCTGTGCAAATCGACACTGCCATACCCTCTATCGAACCCACTCTCAGAGCAACACTGGATCAAGGTATGCAGAACATGCTTGATCAAGTATCACAATTGACTACTCAGGAGATGTCCACCCCAGCCCGGTACCGTCGTCTTGGTTACAAGCGTCTACGGTCAGGAAACGCGTTACCGAGACACCGCCTACTGCAGTCGGAGCTCTGCTTGATGAACTGTGTCAGCAGAATCATGAAGGGTCCGCAATTGTCGAAGCTCTGCGCACAGAACCTGAACAGTAAGCCGACTAGCACTCGAAATGGATCTGGTACTGATGAGATGCACAGGACAGAGATGCGAACAGTTTCTGCAGAATTCCAGGTTATCGCACAGCCGAAAATTCAGTCCACTCCTACCCCTAAGAAGAAATGCAATCGCACAAAGGCGAAGAAAGTCAAGAAGATATTCCTCTCTGGGAGCCTGCAGCCATGGCCGCCTCGATCTGGCCCTTCGCCCGAGTCCTCGAGCACTCAAGCTACCACTGCCCATCCCAAGGATCAGGCAAACCTCGAATCCAAGTTGGAAGCAGGTCGATGGCTTCCTATCGAAGATGTTGCTGTGAAGTCCCATCCTGGTGGACCCCCTATACCAGACGGACCTCTTGAGGTTGAACAGTGGTCATCGCCAGATGAAATGGTGTCGTGGACCGGTGCAACGAATAAGAGTCCCGCAGCTAACGGTCCTCACCTCATGCCTTCCATTCACACTGAGCAGACCAAGCTTGCAGGACCACATCCCCAGCTCGATGCGGACATACAACAACCAATTGATATTGCAGATCCCTCTATCACGCGAGATGATCCGTCAGTCTCGACTCAGTATGAGTCCCACGGCCAACACACAGAGGCACATAAATATTTCGTAACAGATAAAGGCCCACTCCCAGTCTCTGCACCTTCTGCATTGCTTCATAGCAAACCTTCGAAATCACATCCGGCTCTCAAATCCGCTTCAATTGACAATGCAGGTCATTCAGCTAAGCAACTGCCCTCAAACCAAGAGATCAGTGACCCAGTTTCGGTCGATCGCCCACCTCGTTGTACCCAAATTCCGCAAGAGGCGTTGCACGGTGTTTCCGATCGTGCAGGACCCGTACGAGTGATGAAACCGCAAAAACAGACGCAAGTCATGCACGGAGGCTCCTCGAGGGATTCGGCAGCAAACGGAAGTTATAAAAAACCCGCAAGGACAACGGCTCTCGAACAGGCCCTGGATGTATTTCGGACCGCTTACCTCACCGACCAATACCGGCTAGAAGACCTGATGGCCATGAAAGAGAATCAATGGAATGGGGATAGATCAGACATGCAAACCACTGTAACAAAACAGCTGGAGACCATTGCGGAATTGCGTGTCAAGCTCGAACGGTCCGAGAAGCGCTTTACGAAAATGGAAGAGATGACAGAGAAGCTGAAGTCGAGTCAAAAATACGTTTCTGGTCTACAGAAAGATCATGAAAAAATGCAGAGGCACGTAGTCGCCTTTCAAGAGCAGAATGAAAAAGCGTTGCAGGACCAAATTGCGCAGATGTTGGAAGAGAAGGCAGACCTGCAGAGTGGACTTCGAGCGATGATCGAATCTTGCGCCAAGTCTCGGAACAGCATGCTGAAAACGATGAACGAGGTACAACTACATTACACGATGGCTATGTCGAGAGAAAACGTCCTGAAGGGTCAGCTTAATGAGCGAGTGGCCATGTACGAAGAAGAGAAGAACAGGAGGATCGAACTTGAGCAGCAGCTTCTACCGTCTATTCAGACTATGCAGCGTCACCTGGATGAAAGCTCTGCTACTCTTGTCGAAAAGACCAACAGTCTCCGAGCCAGCATGGAAAGCCGCGCAGACGATGATGATCGCGACTCCACTGCCAAGGAATGCCTGCTCATCCTCCAAAAATCGCGGTTGTTATCACCATTGACTTCCAACGATGTCCGCAAGGCGGAAGGCACACTTCGTCATATCTGTGAGAGGTAAGTCATGGGCACAATATTCACATACTGGTGCTGACAGATCAACAGAATCGATGCGGGCTTCAGGCTAATGACCAAAAGTTTGGGAAATAAGTCAATTCTGATGGAGGATATTCAGCAATGCATGCGTGACCAGTTGCAAGGGCTGCAAACAGAGATGCTGCGAAACGATCAAGCCATAGCAGATCGTGATCTCGCTCATGAGGCAAACCAACGGCTCATGACGGAAGTTGAGACAGAGAAGCAGGACAACCAACGATTGGCAGAGCAGACAGCATCACTGCGACACGTCAAGGCGACACTCGAGGCGCGTGTCGCAGAGCTAGAGTATGAGAAGCAAGAGCTGCAGAACGTTGTAAAAGAACACGAAGAACAGCTACGCGAGGCCGAACAGGCGATTGCGGGACTCGAAGCGCAACTGAGCCAGGTCCACGAGGATCTGCGTCTATCAGACACTAACATCGAAGGACATGAGCGCCAGCACCTCGAACAAGAGCATGAATTCTACAGATACAGGGTAGACGCTCTATCCCAACTCACCGGTCTGAGAGAAGAGTTGCGACAGGTTTCGAATCAGGTTGGGGCCAAAGACCGCCAATACGATGCCCTCAAGCAAGATTCTGCGGAGTTGCGGATCGAGCTGGAGTCGGAGCAGACGAAGAGTGATCATTTAAGGGAGAAAATTTTTCAACATGGCTCTACAATGAGAGCCATCGAGCAGGAAAAGAACGACGCGATCGAGAGGGAGGGCGCAACGCGGGCGTTACTTCGGTCTGTGAAAGACTCGGGATCTGAATTGGAGACTGAAAAGTATAAGCTGTATAGCGAACTCGAAGAAGCTCACACAGATCTGCGTGCATCGAAAGACGCTCAACAAAAGCTCACCTCACAGTGTTCCGGATTGCAACGACAAGTCAACCAGCTTCAAGACGCGAATGCTGCGAGTAACGAGCAGTTGCAGCAAGTGCGGCACGAAACCGTTACTCGGTTGCAGCAATCGAAGATAGAATACACTGCGAGCCTCGACAATCTGAACACCCAGCTCACACTCTCCGAAGACGCTGGCAAGGAGTTGCAAGCAAGGCTACGGCAGATGGAGACTGCGCATAAGCAACAAATTAAAAACTACGAAGAGACGTTCAATGCCAAGTTCGACAGTCTTGCAGCTCGATCACAGCAGGAACAAGAAAAGCTGAAGACTCAGCACACACAGGAGATGGAGACCTACAAGCGAGATGCCCAGAAAACGGTTGCCAACATAAGACTCGACGCCAACAAGGTTGATCGCGAAGCTGTCTCCAGAACCGCCGAAATGGTGACTGAGACAGAGAGACGATTGGAAGAGGCTGGGTTGCCCACCAGCAGAATCTTGGTCCCCAATACGCAGCATTCAGACCAGAGCGATTCACTGTCCCAACAGTCACAGCCTGGAAGGACTCGTAAGAAGGTGAACCGCCAAACGCACACCGTCACGATCGTAGCAGCATCGGGCTGCCGGCAGCCTAACACGGTTGAAGGCGGTTCCGATATTGATCGAGCAAGCTCTGCCCAGCGCATCGAAAGTACTGACAGCCAAGTCGGATACTTCGAGGAGGGGTCCAAGAG